AAAACAAAACAACAGGGACATGTGAGGTGTAGACAGTGCCGGATGAAGCTAGTGCGGGGCCTGTAACATGTTATAAAGGGGCACTAAATTAAAAACCCACAAAAATCAAAACAGAAATTTGTAACTTGCATAGTGAAGTAATTGTATGTTTTAATTTACTATACAGCCAGATAAGACGACATATCGCTAACCTGAAACACCCAGTCGTTCATAAAAGTTGGAGGCAGAATAGTACTATAGCGATAGAGCAAATGCAGAATCACTGGACCGGAATTGATAGCTTGAAAGTGCGGGTCCCGTAGCATATGTAGCTACTTTTGCTACTAGGATAATCTGGCCCTGGGTATAGAGGGTTATAGCATGGCGTGGCGAGCGGGAGGGCGATCTCTGAGTCCTTGTACCGGGGAAAGTTGAGGAGCACCCATTGGTGGTAAGACGTCTTCACATATCCACCTGTATGTACGTCTGTTGAACTTATTTCAGAATCAGAATATTTATACAGAATTTTAACAAAGTGACGCATTATCAATACCCTTTTTCATATTATTTTTCTTGTCACGGTGAGACTGGAAAAAGAAGACGTGGATTAGAGGTCGTACACAGGTTAGATACGACATCTGTTGGTTGTCAAGACAAGTCAGAATCAGAAATAGGGATATTTATTTATACTGCAGGAAAAATCCGATGAGCTATAAAGCTCTTTTTTTTCACAGATGTCCAGTAGGGGCGGGTCAGAACGTTACAACAACAAACAGTACAACATCACGATAGGAGTGCACAGTATAGGAAAGATAAACAAATCACATTAAAACAAATATATACACGAATAAAGCTAAACAATGTTTCATCTTACCGGGTTAAGCCCATTGAAGTGTCCCACAAATGATAGCTCATCAAAGTGGCTTATCACGTGGAAATGTAGAGCAGAAAAACAATCTAAATGATCTTAATTCGCACCTTACGTAGCCCCAGCCGTGCTAATCGGAGGTGCGCCCAGCGGCGTGTGCTGCGTTCACCACGCACACTCACACAACAACAACCGCCATTCGCCACTAAGTGGCGGTGACGTCACCACGACGCTTGTGCCAGGCCATGTGCACACAAAGACAAAGATTCCCCATATAGCCTTAACAGACTGTAGGGGCAAGTGCTGTTAGCGAGCACCTATGAAGGCCGGAACGGTACACGAGGGGGTGGGTGGCCAGCACCACGCCCGACCGCCTTTGTCTCCCTAGTGGCGATGTTTACACACTGCACCAGGTACTCATTTGAGGCTGAGTCGACCTAGGGGAGGCCCGGAACCGGTTCAGATAATCGTCACTGGTGTTGGCCGTGAGCGGGAATCGAACCCGGGTCGCCGGGTTCATAGCGCAGTGCGCTAACAGCTACACTATCGCTCCCCATGTGCACACACTCACATACTCACTCCGGGGAGGTCACTCGCACGGAACTCAATGTGTGTGACCTGTCCACCCGTGTGACGAGCGATCAACTCACAACGCAAAGGAGCGTTTCCTTTGCGTTACGCCGTTACGCGTCGTGTTACACCATGCTGGACGAGAGCCTCGTCGCGGTCGCGCTGGGGTCGTGGAGAGCGGGGGGAGCTATTTGATTAATTCTTCATAAACTATGTTCAGGAGCCGTTTCCTCTTTGGCGAGAATCCTTTGGTTTATAAACTCAGCCAGTGCCCAGCGAAAGCAATGAGAACCTTTGCGAGTGAGACCTGTCATTCGCAATGGGTGGCACTAACAAAATATAATGCAACATGCTGTAATTAACCATTTAAAAGCCTACTTTTTGTTTTTTTCGGTAAAGTCACGTAGGTAAAATAAAATAAAAATCACGACGTTTCGGAGGCAACACAAGCTTCCGTCTTCAGGTGGAACAGTCACAGCAGAATATCTGTGTCAAGTGCACAGTTCCGAGATGACTTGGATTATATATAGGTCAGGGGGGGGGGAGACAGAAAGGGACGTGGGTGGGTGGGAGGGCTGAGTTAAGTCGCCTTTTGTTAATCTGCACAAAAGCGGGTAGACAACGCTTTTGGTTTTCTGGCGGCGGGGTTTTTCCGGGGGGAGGCGATGCAAGACATCAGGTACAGACCAATTTTTTTTTTTAAACCTAAAATGGAAACTAAGAAAATGACTGTAAAATTATAAGGTAGCTAAAGGTTGACATACAACCACTGAGAAGTGGAAATGACTCTACAATTAAAAGGCAGCTAAAGTTTTGACTTGATTTATAACATCTTTCCAGTGGTTGCTCAATTTGAAACCATCCTCTCGGTTGAAGTTGTGTCTATGTTTGTATATCTGGATGGCCTCATGGACAAATCTTTGGTGATAACCGGGAGGTTTGCAGAGAACTTTGGTATCAGAGAACACAATGTCATGAGAACCCACTGTGTTGAAGCAATGATCAGCCACGGCCGAAGAATTCGTTCTGCCGTGTTTCAAATCTGATTTGTGCTCGCGGATTCGGTCACAAATATGTTGTTTCGTCTCCCCGATATAGCAGTCACCGCAGGTACAACTCAATTTGTAAACACCGGGGTACTGTAAGTCAGGGATGACATCCTTCACAGATGGGATCAGATCACGGATTTTGTGTACTGTATTGAACCGGACCTGGATCTTGTGTTTGTTAAGAATTTTAGAAATCTTTTTAGTAACGCCTGCTATGTATGGTAACGTGATGATTTTGATCGGGGTCACAAGTAGTTGTTTCTGTATGGTGGGAGAAACAGCTTGGCAGATGGTACGGTCAGAGCATCCGTTCATCTTGAGGGCCAGATGTACATGTTTTAATTCACTGGCCAAGTGGTGTTGGTCCGAAATGCAATGGGCCATTTGGTATAACGTTTTGATGAAAGAGTTATTTTGAGTCAGTTGGTGGTGGGACTCAGGCTTCAAGTAGGAGTCTGTGTGGGTAGACTTCCTGTAAACAGAATGTCCCAAAGATCCATCAGTTCTCCTCTCAAACAGAACATCCAAGAATGGCAGCTTGCCATCTTTCTCCACTTCCATGGTGAATTTGATGGATGGGTGTCTGGAATTAATGTGGTCTAGGAAATGGTTCAATGCTGGGAGGCCATGTGGCCAAATAACGAAAGTGTCATCCACATATCTCTTCCATAGGGAAGGGCGAAGGGTGGATGTTTGGATGGCGTCTGATTCAAATTTCTCCATGAAAACATTGGCTATCACTGGTGACAAGGGAGAGCCCATAGGGGTACCCTCATTTTGTTTGTAGAAGGTGCCATTCCAAGTAAAGTAGGTGTTGGTGAGGCAGTGCCTAGCCAGCGCAGGTACCTCTGGGTTCAGTCCATGTTGGACCAAATCTTCAATTATTGTTATGGTATCAGGTACTGGGATCTTGGTGAAAAGAGAGACCACATCAAAGCTGACGAGGATATCGTCAGGAGATAGGACAATGTCTTTGACCATAGAAACCAATTGGGTTGAGTTAAGTACTGCTGAGGTGGTCTTGCCAGTGAAGGGAAGCAGAGTATCTGACAGAAAGCGGGCTAGCTTTTAGGAAGGGGAGTTGATCGTGGACACGATGGGTCGTAGTGGGGTACCTTCTTTATGGATCTTGGGAAGACCGTAGAATCTGGGAGGTCTTGCAGCGGAGAGTTTTAGGGAGGGACGTTTGGTTGGTTCGATTAGGGAAGTCGAACTAGTGATGATCTTGTTGGTTTTTATCGTTAGGCTGTTAGTAGGATCATTTTTCATTTTTGAGTAACTCCCATCATTGAGTAGGTCCTGGATTTTGTTGTTGTATGAGTTCTTATCCATAATGACAGTGGCATTGCCTTTGTCGGCCGAGAGGATGACTATATCATCTCTCTTTTTTTTTAATTCACGAGTTCAGATCACTCATTTTTACTGATGTTGCTAGTGGGTTTCTTAGCATTTTAAGAATAGTGGCTATCTCAGCTCATGCAACGTCTGCTTGGATGTGTCCTATACCTTTGAGGGCTACATCAACCTGAGAGATGATATCCTCTACTGGTATATGTTTAGGGGTGACAGCAAAATTTAGTCCTTTAGCCAGTACTGTTTTCAGGTTTTCAAAGGCGGCTTAACTCAGCCCTCCCACCCACCCACGTCCCTTTCTGGCTCCCCCCCCCCTGACCTATATATAATCCAAGTCATCTCGGAACTGTGCACTTGACACAGATATTCTGCTGTGACTGTTCCAGCTGAAGACGGAAGCTTGTGTTGCCTCCGAAACGTCGTGATTTTTTAATTTTAATTTTATTTTACCTACGTGACTTTACCGAAAAAAATAAAAAGTATGAATCCTTGCAGTCATGCAAGCTTCAAATCTAGAATCATTTAAAAGCCGTTTACCAATCCACTGCTGCATGAAAGCCATTCTTATGCCGTTTCACTCGGAGAGGTTCGATGATACTTCACCGCGCTGGTCAGTTTGGGTTTGATGTCGCTTTGCTATTGCTGTTAGCCGTGACCGGGATTCAGAGTCAGGCTGGCGGGTTCACAGGGTAGTGCGCCAACCACTACAATACCAGCTCAACACGTAGTAGGATTTCGTGACAAATATTATGAATTATAGAGGGGTTTTTTGGGGGGGGTTTATTAGATCTCGTTAATATAAATGTGTCGTTAAATCCGCCACCACCCGACACAGCCAATTAGTAAGTTTTGTCACGTACACTAAACGTGGTCATTAGTTCAGCACCATCGGCGCAAAAGAAGCCCGTGGATAACACAAACGGCATGGGAACAATGCAAAAGTTTCCGAGACATTGAAGAGAGACCTTGCGTTTTTTTGCAAAGCGAAGCGTCCGTTGCTGACACCGTCACACACCGCGGTGGAGGCCGCGGGGCCGATCCTGCGGTCGTGTTGTTATTCGTGTTTTTTTTTTGTGTGTGTGTCCATTGCTCGTGCTCGTGTCTAATTTTCCCCGTTGCTGTGGAGTAAACATTTGCCATGCTCTGTTGCCCCCCCCCCCCCCCCATGCCTCCGCTTCCAGAGACCTGAGGTTCAACCGAATCAGGGAGCTGCCCACGGGGACTTTCCGTGGCCTCAAGAACCTCACCACCCTGTGCGTCCCTGCCTCCTACCGCTCTTCACCAACGATGCCTGCGTTGCGCAGAGGACATAATCAGCCACGACGATGCATGCGTCCTTCTGATAAGCTCGAGCTGATGCGTTTATTTAAACAGACTCAGGTCCGTAACTGTAATGGACTCGAGATAGCGCCCGTTTAATATTGCAAGGTTGAGTCCTGGGCAGGATATGCTAACTGGCCTCGTTGTTCAGTAGGAGAGCAATCGCTTGCAATCGCATGGTTGCGCGTTCAAACATTGGTTGGGGGTTGACTCAGCCCATCATCATTTTTGGGGTCGATAAAGTGAGTACCACTTTGTGGAGAAGTCAACAGTGGTTGTATCAGAGCTGCAAATGAGCACTGTCCCACTATTCGTTTGAGAAAGAAATAACTTTGACTTTGCTTACTAAGGCTATGCTAAATGCACAACAACAACATTTGGCACTAGCAAGTAAGTGACGTTGACACCACTGCAGCAATTGTGCCAGGCTAGGTACGTCTTGACGCCACCTGAAATGTCAGAGGCTCACTGGCAGGAGGTCACGGGACAGATGCAGGTGTTACGGGTGTTATGATTTATAACCTTGAACAGACAGTACGACGCCCGACCGCCTTTGTCTCCCCAGTGGCGATGTTTACACACCGCACCAGGTACTCATTTGAGGCTGAGTCGACCGACGGGAGGCTTAGGACCGGTTCAGATAATCGTCACCAGTGTTGGCCGTGAGCGGGAATCAAACCCGGGTCGCTGGGTTCGTAGCGCAGCGCGCTGACTGCTACACTACCGCTCCCCACACCATTAAATGCACATGCTGACACACACACAAACGGACACGTGGGCACATGGACACACAAACCCAGACACACACACCGACAGACATTCCTTCAGCGTTCTCAAAAATGCTCGTAGCAGGAGAGCCAGCCAAAGCACACGACACTGCTCATTAAGATTCAGCAGCACAGAACCATTTCGCATTAATACTGCTCGCCTTCTGCTGTGGCAGTTTCAAACTTGGAATGCGAGTTTCTTCTCTGTATCACTGTACGTACGTACGTGGGACTTCTTTCGTCACCGTACGTAGCCAACCGTGCTCATCGGGGATGCGGGGGCAACGGACATCAAACTGAACACAGCAACAAGCAGTTCTGAATAAAATGAGTTTTCAACCTAGATTATTTCAATTGTGCATAGCTCCAGTGGATTCCTAGTGTCGGAAGGAAGAGCGTTCCAGACGGCCGCAGAAGCGCATCTGAAAGCGCGCAGTGCGGCGAGACCGTCTTCCACCGTCGTGCTCACGGGTGGATGTTATTCTGTGAAAACGTTCACTAATACGCGTGGACTGCGAACGGTGGTTTGCTTCATTGGACAGCTTGCCTTTTCACATTTTTTTTCAATGCGTACAAGGAATTCTTGCAAATTCACCGACACGTTGTGAAACCCACATGATGTTTTCCGTCATTTCTACAAATGTTGGCTTTCATCCGTGCCTCCGTCGCATCCTGATTCAACGAGCGGAACTCTCTGCTCTGTGGTCTATCGCAAATCCCTCACCTCCAAACGCCAATTGTTCCAAAATGTCGCCGCCAAGACTCCTCACCCACACCCATGAACGAGGCCACGTTGCTCCAACGTAGAATCCCTCCGCTCACGCACATCCCGCCCAATGGCTCCCGATACCAACCCCGAATACATTGTAAAGATCGCACTCACCGCCTACAAGACCCTCCAGGACCCTCCCCCCTGCTTAGCTCTCCCCCCTCATCTACACTCTCCTGGCTCCCGGCACGCACTCCGATAATCACGATCACGGTTGGCTACGTGCGGTGCGAACGAAGTTCAACATCGATCCGTAGACTCTTGCTTTTCCCAACACTAAGGCTTTCCGTCGAAACCCCCACGCAACTTTTGCTCAGTGGGAGGTCGCTCATCCTCCTCTGCTGCCGCCCCCCGTCAACTGAAACGCCATTCCACCAGCCACCCGTGCTGTTGACTCCCTGCTCTTCTTCAAGTCCAGGCTCAGGGCTTGCTCGAGGCTGACCTCTCTCTCTATCTCTGACATATGCCCACGGTGTCTGCACACTATCTTGAGACGTGGTCGCATTTCTGTGATTTTCTGTGTACCTATGAGGCCAGGTCCGGGAGCGTTGTAGCAAGTGCCCCATCCCCGCAATGTGAAGATTGAACATTTATACTATTTGGTTCTTTCGGTAAAGTCGCGTAGATAGAAAATAATTAATAGATCACGACGTTTCGATCGCAACACAGGCGACCGTCTTCAGGTGAGAGAGAGAAAGCTGCTGGAACGAGGTCTTATGTAGACGGTCGCTTGTGTTGTGATCGAAACGTCGTGATCTATTAATAATTTTGAATCAACGTGACTTTACCGGAAGAACCAAAGAGTAGGGATTCCTGCAGTCACGAGAGCTTCAAATCCGGAGTGAACATTTAATCCCCGATGATCGCCAACTCAGCTCACCATTCCTCCGTCGCTAATAAACAAAATGAGTACGACGTGGGAAGTTAACGTTGTCCTTGCTGTGATGAGATCAGCTCCCCACCACGGGAATTGTGGAGCCGCCAAGCATCGAGCGACTGCCTCGCACGGCCGCGTTGGCCACGCGCACGGCTGCTTTGCTGACAAAAGTAATTTACGCAAACGTTCGTCAAGTGACGTGCGTATATTCCTAGTGAACAATGAAATGTTTTAATTTTAGTTCGCGACGACCGTGAGTGGATGAAAATAATTTAGCGCGATGGTGACTACGACCAGTCACGGCAGCCGGAGACAAAAGCGCAAACGACCATGCTGAGACGAAATTAACGAGTCTGAATGGAGACACGGTCACGAAGATCATTTAGAAACGTTATCAGAGATTGCAGTGCACCGTGGAACACCAAACATGGCCATTCCCAAATATATTATCCATATGAAAACATCTTACTGAGTTCACTGATAGGCTGAGCTGATACTATTCACACCAACATTTTCACAACTGAGTCAACTGAACGTTTGACTGCTTTCGTTGACTGAGATAATGAGAACTGACTCAAATCCCACGGGTTGTCGTAGACTACGGCTACGAATAAACATAAAAATTGCGGACTAACTGAACACTGCAGCGTACACATACAGACGCGCGAATGGCGGCTCTTTCGCAGGAGTGGATTTCGCACGAGGACAACAGAAGACGGGCAGCACCACACCTCCCTCTCCTCTGACCCCGTGTTGGCTGCAGGCCGCTTGCCTGGTTCATTAATAATCTTTAGCGGTGGCCCTGGCAGGAATGTAGGGTCATGAGCTGTGGCCGTTCACAGGGGCAAGCGGACGGGCCAGGGACCGCAAGGGGCTGCTGGGATAATTCCAATGCGGTTATTTGTGGCGGCTTTATGTCGTAAGTATTTACGGCTTTGTCTCAAATCCCCGTGGAATTGATGCTGCCGTGGCATTTTTTCTTTCGTGGTGCCGTGTTAGATATGTTTGTATTACTTGTGTTTGTCTTGTATTAATTTTTTTGAAATTTTGGCTTCATTCAGGGGGAGTGGAATATTTCCCTTACCCACTACCGAATACCATTATTATTGTTTACGATTACGCTTGTTTACCCAGGAAAGCCTCACTGAGTCTCAAGATTATTTTTTGAGGAGGGTCCTGCCAAGTTTTCGCAGTGTAGACGATGTGGCAATTTGTAGTTTGAATTAAGCAATTTGCATGGAAATATTTTAGCATTGAGATGTTGGGCCAAAAGCAGTTACATTGTCGGATTTTTGTTGTTTCATTTTATCTATGTGTGGAAGCCAGATAACCTGCACAAAACCCATGCAGAACAGGGGGTAGACATTAAAACTCCACGGAAAACGGTGCCATAGTCGGGAATTGTATGCAGGCCTTGCTTGCTGTGAGGCACAAGTGTCACCACTGCACTGCTCTGCCCCACACAAAATACTTTAATGATATAGAATTGAAGCTTTCGTGACTGCATAAATTACTATACTCATTGTTTTTTTTTCGGTAAAGTCACGTATGTTGAAAATTATATTAAAATAATAAATCACGACGTTTCGAACGCAACACAAGCGATCATCATCAGGTGTTAAACAAATAGTGAGGGAGCACATAGGGGGACATCACGCACATAGCACATAGAGAACGTTAAACTGTACGGAGGCAAATACAACAAGAAAATAATAATTAAGGCAAATATTCATACGTGACTGCATTCAAATTATGAGCACAGAGTTGCTAGCTTGAAAATATCCTCCTCTCGTACACGGTCAGACATCTAAGGTGATCGCAGCGGTGGATAAGTATTGTTTGCGGGCCATATCAATGTGGAAGGAATCAATGTGGCGACGGGCCGTATGAAATGAAGCCGTGGGTAGTATCCGGCCCATGTAATTACACTTAAGTGGTTTTAAACTCATATATTTATTTATCTATTTTTGTTCAATCATGCTGCTGCCAAATGCATAGGCTACGCGTCTGTGTTAAAAAATGCGGTCCGGTGGTTGCATCTCGGACAAGGTGTCCCTTCACGGTGGCAGACGACGAGGCCACAAAGCAAACGGCAAGTGAGGGCACAAGACATTCCTGGCCCGCCTCTCGCTCGACGCTCATCGGCAGGAAACGTGACAAATGCGCGCAGCTGCCTGCCGCAGAGATGACAACAGCACGCCTGTTGAATTCCAAAAAAAACCTAAATTCCCACCACGTACACCACGAATGTAGGCAGTGGCTGCAATTCCAGCTTCACCCCACAAATGCCTTTACCCCACTTTTTTGGCAGGGCTTCGGGGACTTTTTCTTTGACGTATTTTTGATTTTTGCCGACTGCTTCAACGGTCGCACAAGTTGGCACCGTCGGCTGGAGCAGTAGAGCCTTGCGAGTCGTGAGAATGCGAGTTCACATCCAGGCCACGGTCATCTTGGGCCCCATTACTTTGATAACGAATTCCATCGTCCGTGTGGGGTGGGTAAAATTTGTACCACCTGGTGAGGCTTCACCCACCTTGGGGGAAGTCTGCAGTGGCTGTACAATGGATAGGCTGGTCCCTGCCATAGGAATGGAGACAAGAAGTGACAAATGCTTATTTGAGCATGGTTTTTAATTAAAATACGATGGCGAAATATTAAATACCACGCCTGGTTCGATCCCGACCCTGACGCCTGTGTATTTGGAGTTTTCGCGTCCTCCCCGTGGTCGCGTGGGTTTTTCTCCGGGTTTTACAGTTTTTCCCTCCACATTTAGAATCAACAGCCGTTTAGAGTATTTGGCTGCTGAAAATGTCCACGTGATACGCGACTTTGTTGAGCTGTCATTTGTGGCCAGGCCGCTTCGGAAAAAGAGCTCCATGGCTCAGTGGGATTTTGCTGACAAAATAAAAAATAAACATGGTTTCGTTGATTCAATTATGTTTTATTCTTGTATCGTATATGTTGAACATTTGACTCCTTTGTTTTTAACAATTCACGACTATTGCGTGCGTTTTCAGACTGCTGAACAACAATGAGCTTCGGCGAATACCACGGAAGGTGTTTGACGAGCTGGAGAATCTGCGATACCTGTGAGTGATTCTGTCAGGACGCTTGGATTCATTGTGGCAGGCAAAGCCCTCCCTTGGTTGTGTGCACATGTATGCCGTGCTATTCATACTGAACGTACGACGATGGGTCGATGTCCGGTAGCCGATGTGTTGTCAGATTGTGCGTTGTCTTGATCAAGAGACACTTCTAACAGGAGTGTCTCTTGCTTCCTGCCAATCCTCCACATTGGCTACTGAATGGCTTAATCACCCCAACAATCGCTTCTGACGTCACAAGTGTCACCTCGCCGTACGAGAGAAGACGGTAGAGCAGGAGCGGGAGTGCGAGTAGTGTGCCCGAGTGGGGAGCGGTGGCGCAAGTGGTTAGCACGCCACGCTACAAATCCGGTGATTCAGTTTAAATTCCGGGCCACGAATAACATCAGTGGAAAGCTGTCCTTCAACCTCTCCTGGACTCCTGAACTTGGTAAAGTTTAGGAGTAAGCGCCTATTGTGCTGTGTGAACATTTTGTAAGGGGGGCTGGGCACGGTGCTGACCGCGCCACCCACGCCCGCGATGTCTTGGCACACATCGGATCCCTCCAGGGGCGCTTGCTCCAGCAGTCTCCTCTGTAACCATCGCACTGCCACTCAATACAGCCGCATGCCCTTCGAACTGCGGATTAAAGCGGCACGGTGCTTCACATTCAATGTAAATTACCGCACACGTTGTTAATGTTCAACAAATAAGCACATCGTTAAATACACGTTTGTACCCACCCATACTGATCAGCGCGGTGAAGTATGGCCCAAATGACCCCCATGACCGACACGGCATGGAGAACCCTTCATGCAGCAGTGGATTGAAAAAAAAAATCTGCATTTTACTAATTTATATTGCAGTAGAGGCTGGATAAAAGCACACCACTTGGGAGCAATGCCTTCCCACCACCAGTGTAGCGTAAGCTTGTGTTGCGGACATCAGCGCTGTGCGTATATATCAGAACACTCGGCACATTCGTCAATAGCACTGTTGCCTTGAAGACGAAAACAATTTATAATAGGCAACATTTTAGGCAATGGCCCTTATTCATCGGACGTAATTAGAGAGGCCAGAGAGACAGAGTGCATAAAGGTTGGACACTTTACACCATGTGGCCTGATGCGATTTAATTACAAGCATGTTTCCTGATGAAGTTTTTTTTTTACTTGGCATATAAATCGTTAGAATTCATCTGGGATCGTTTTGAAGCTAATTCTTATCAGGCCCCATGGTGTAGGGTGCACTCCAACTCTTACCGACTCAATCCCTCTGGCCTCTGTATGTGCTATGAAGAAGAGTCATTGCCCGAAACGTCACCTATTATATACAGGGACGCCTCTACTTACGAACGGGATAGGTTACAGAGGTCTGTTTCGTAAGTCGATTTGTTCGTAAGTCTAACTTTACTCCTGTCGATTCCAAACATTTTGTACGGCGTGTACACTAAACACGGTGAATGGCTTTAGTTGTAGATGCCGGTGGTTCTTCACGTTCTGCAGATGTAGATGCCACCACCACCGCCATCTATTGCGCGGTGGTTTTAACTTTCGACTCTCGGTACGAACAGGCAACTGGACATACGGACAGGTTTGTTCGTATCTGTGAAAGTTTGCATGTCGAATGTTCGTAGCTAGAGGAGCCCCTGTACTTTTTATTTCTTTCAAGGCCACAATGTTATTGACGAGGGTGTTTAGGTTTTGTTATTTGTGCTTGTGCAGCACTGCCAACACAGCAGCGTCACCAAATAATGTGTGCTTATATAATCTCTGCTTATATCCAGCGCACACTGTACAAAAATGTGCTACTCTATCGTGTCTGTGGTATTTAAAATTGCACGTCTGCCGTAAGCCCCGTGCGTTTGTCGAGCGCATCTAGCGCGTGAGTCATGGCAATTTGCGAGAAGTCTCTCTGCCTTCCGCGAGGTGAGAAGCGGGGGCCTCGTGGCGTCGGGTCACGCTGTGGAAATTTCACGGTGCCCCCACTTGGGTGGATTTTATAAATCCGCACGCGGCGTGGAGATCCCATCGCCATGCATGCAAGGTGTGCATCGTGCGAATGCACTCTGACCCCTCTGCGCGTTTTAACCCCCCCCCCTTCGCGTGACACTGCAGGTACCTCTACAAGAACGAGATCCAGAGCATCGAGAGGCAAGCATTCAAGGGCCTGAAGTCCTTAGAGCAACTGTGAGTATTATGTATATAGAAAAAATTCACAATGATCGTGCATACCGTGACCACCGACACACTCTTTATTCCAGGACAGTCGAGCCCCCTGTGCCAGGCGGTCGCCTACGAAACCCTTGCTGTCAAGTAAGCACCGAAGCCCTGTCAATTCACCGATGAATCCATCGCCGAGCCTCCAAGGCTCGCTTACAAAATGTGGAAGGATTCGTGATAAGGGGGAGGTTCATTAGCCATCGCTTGGCGAATGGCTTCCTTCCTGCGTGCGCAAGGCAGTGGAGGACAGAGAGAAGTGGGAGGGAGGGGGCTACACCGCTGCCAATCCCCCTTGATGGAGGACAGAGCAAGACACAATGCACCCTCTAAGGCCAATTTGATGCTGGACCGAACGATATTTTGTACAGAACGCCGGTCTCTGTTTTTTTCCCAGTCGGGTCCTGCTGGGAGGAACTCTCTCGCCTGTTTTTGGGTCGTGCCGCATTTTGTTCGGCACAATGTCTGGGATCTTCTCGTAGGTAATTATAAGACTCTCCAGGCACGCGGAGAGGAACGTAGGACATGGGTGAAGCTGGTGTGCTTGAAGAAAGCGCATGCTTGGGAAGGAATGACACCTCAATGGCTTTTGCAGGTTCACAAACCCGCATAAAATCTTGGAAAGTACTTCACGATATATATAAAAAAACATTCCAATGATTCTCCACATTTATTTTCTATTGGAGCTCCGCTTGTAATCTTTGGCCAATTCTGAGCAATTGTGTGTGTTTGGGAGAAAAAAAAACTCCACGCGTTTCGAGAGGGATATCAAGAGAGACACTGCTATGCAGGTCGCTCTTCAGGCACCTGGTTTCTCTGATTTTTTTTGGCTTACGCGGTCAAGGCTCTCAATTGATTTCACTGGCCTCAGCATCGTACTCAAGCAGATGCGATCCTGCCTGACCTTGTCCGTGTCTCCACGTATTCCCTGGAATCTGCACTAGAGCCAAGAGCATCTTAGAGGCAAGCTGCCCGTTTTTCATGCGTTCATTTGTTTGGTTTGCCTGACCGCAGTTAAGCGCTAATCGTGGCTCTGTTATGCTTTTGGTTGCTAGCAGCGTCTGGTATGACAGCACTGTAAGTCGGACCGAGCACAGAAATGCGGGAAGAGGCTCATGGTAAATGTCTCACCGCTTGCGGCTGGAGTGAGACTGAATTAGGATGGGTGACTGCCTGCGAATTGCGAATTGCAGGTGGTGTCGGCTCGGGCTTCGAGGTGGTTTAAAGATGCTAAGTACAGCAATGGATTTGTGTGAATCTGTGCATCCATTCATCGTGCATTGATGTATTTGTGTGAATCTGTGCATCCATTCATCGCGCATTGCCAGCGAAGGACCGTTGCACCAAAGGCGTGACCTCTTGTGGCACCATTCGCATAAACTGCTCTTGCTGCCATACACCGGCGTCTCGAGTGAATTGTTTGATCCACGGATCACGGGGGGGGGGGGGGGGGCACCACGGGGAGGGCGGCGTTACTCCTTTGACGGCCGCAGTCCTCACTTTGAACGTCGACCGCCAACTGAGGTGCACGATTTTGCTGACGAAGTCGAAACCATCGGATGGCAAGCAAGGCGTCTTTGGCATCGCATGTGGAAGGACTGCAGCCAATCCAAATCAGCTCGTGAATCTATCTGTACGGAGATGTGACTGTTGTGACCTCATATGTATGGGGGGGTTCCTCTTGATTCTCTGGGGTGATCACACGTGGTAAACGCTTAAAAAACGTGTAGCTCCTGGACGTGTGTTCAGGTCGTGCCACGTCTTGTTTGGAACTGAACCCTTAGCGCAGTTGGCTACGTACGGTGTGAAAGACGTTCAACATACAGACATACAAACAAAGAGGCCCCCACTTGTACGACCTGAAAACGCATCAGAGAGCAATACAGCACAACCGCAAAAACCTACGTAGTCATGTTTATACATGGCATTGGTCGAACAGCCACTGCAGCACCGTGTTAAAAAAAAATGTCTTGAGTCTCAGTGAATTAACTCAGTACCTGGCCTGCAAGAGGGCATTAGTCTAGCAGTAGATGGTGATGGTTCTTATGTATGAATAACATGTTCGACCATGACACCAGTACACAATGGCATGCCCATTTGGAATGATGTCACAGGATCATTACCGTCCACTGCGAAGCGTAGTTATGGTTAAGGCACACAGCTCAGTATTAACCAGTGCAGCCTGCCGGATTCGACCCACAAACCCCCATGCAATAAGTGACGAACGCATCACCACGAGGCCATGTGACCACCCCAATAAGTTGATCAGCTTATCTGAATAAAAATAGACCAAGTTTGATTCGAATATGCCTGTGCTATTTCTCCTTATTCTTAATATAAACACAGGTGAGTGAAGGGAGCTTTCCTGGTTTAAATTATTTTCAAATTATCTTCTTATTATTGATACTAAATTCTGTTCAATGTTTCTTCAACTCAGATACATTCATTTCAACCTCGTGGAAAACTTGGAACAGGAAACCTTCAGCCATCTGCCCAGGCTGGAGAGGCTGTGAGTAATTGTTATGCACACACTGCACTCGTGACTACCGTGATTTTCACTTGACAGGGGCTGACCCTTTCGTTTGGCTCAGCTTGCATTGATACGGCAACGGCAGCAATAACGTTCACCGCCCAGCAAAGCACGAAATACAAAAAAAATGTCCCCACTGTCATATTTACTGCTGGGAGGCGCTCAACTGCATTGGTGGTCCTGCACCAGTGGTGGTAATTCCACGTTACTATTTTTGGGGCCGGTACATCCATAGGGACAGTCATTGTTGTCATGCCCCACAAAGTGTTGTGGTGGTCGTGTGAGGCTTCATTTGACCTCTTACTCAGAGCGACCTTTGCCGGCTTTCTGTGGCTTTCGTGTCGCACTCCGTGTGAAGCGAATTACCTGGTTGTACGCTAGTTGCCGATCATATATGCGTCACTGTTTTGCATGAGGTTTAAAGCAATGCAGAACTTTAGACCGGCACTGGCCAGAGAGATGGAGTGAATAACAACAGTTGGAGACTGCACTATGCATCATGGGGGCCCTGATGTAATTGAAATGTTGGTAACATTTTTAGATGAACAGCTTTATTGCCTTACAAAAAATTTCTAATTTGTAATAATTTAATATCGGACATATCCTTCAAAAGTAAAAAAAAAATACGTACACACGAACTCATTTACCATTGAGGAACATTCTCAAAGGTTGCTGACCCATTGAATCCCGCGTGCAATTCGTCAATAACCTTTGATGGTTATTTTCCTGGCCGCCACCAACAGAGGTGAGCACTGCCCAGCGCTTATTGTGAGTGCGAACCACGGGGACGCTCTTAACTGGATTTTAAACGTCGTTCACGACACGTGTTTTTTTGTTGTAAAGTATATTCAGTTTGACAGCGAGCTCAAAAAGTTTTTTTCTCTCTCTTGAAAGTGTAACATTACACGCGCCATTGCGTGCGTCCAACTGCAGATAAGTGGAATCGAAAGTGGCTTTATGATGATTGAGCCAAATCTCCCCGCGAGAGTGCAAGCCATCGGCTGGCCCGCGACCACGCCAAGTCGGCTCAAGCATTCCGCAAATGAGCCCGTTCGTTTTTCCACACTTGGGAGAGCGTCGTCACGACGGATTAAGCTGCCACGTATTTAGCCGAGAGGAGCCCAGAATCTAAGAACCGCAGATGGATTTTTTTTCACGTCGGTGGGCTCGAGACAATATATTTATTGTGTGATTCTACCGCGTGTGGTGAACGCCGAGCAGAAATGACCGAAGGCGATGGATGGCATTCGCGTCGCCCTCAAGAAGTTTGGCGATGCCGAAACCGTCGGCGAAGCGATGCCCTGCCAAAAAAGAGTGTCTCTGCTCAGGGGACCAAAATCTGTAAATAGCGAGAAATTCCCCCTCCGCTGCAATAGAACAATAGCGTGGGCCAAAAAAGCCACGAGTTTAAAACAACAACAACAACAACACCACCACCAACACAGAGACACACGCGTGCACAGCACACAGATGGTGTGTGTATACGCACGGAGGGTAATTGTGCACGTCGGCCTTCACGACCCAGCGTTATGATTCATTATTCGTTGCTGTTGTTAACGTCCTGTTGGTGCTGGATGCAATCTCCAGCGGAATGTCACGTACGACCGTCAACATTTTGCTTTCTCTCTAACGTTCCGATTTTTTCTGAAAAAACCCCAACTCAACCGACCTATTTTCCCACGTGACAATTTTTATTTAATTGCTTTAGTTGGGTGGTGGAGAGTTAAAGGACTTTGTTTTGACGTCATTCCTGCACGACGACGTAACCCAAAAGGAACCGATTATGGACGATTATTAACGGATTACGAACTGATTTTTTTTTACATAACACCTGCACGACGAAGTCACCCAACGGGAATAATCGATAAAGAAACCCACAGAGGCAGCGCGCGGGAGCGGCCCCTGGCGGGTGCCCTGACACGACCACAGCGTTTCCAGCAAAAGGCTGACTCACAGTGTTTTGAACAAAATTCGTGGTACTTTTGACTTCGCGTAAATCCTCCCTTCAACAGGGTGACATGGATGCTGATTGTGCAGATGACGGAACCTTGCCGTGCACAGTTGGGGCATGCACAGCCGGCTCAGCTAGCAGCCAGCTGAGTCAGTAGCCAGCAGCTGCGTAATTACGCGACAGTGGTTCAGTTTGGTTAAACACATGTTAATTAGGATGTGTGTCTGCACTACGTATAGCACGGCAACAGTAATTAATCAATGAGAGAATGATCAAACAACGGGTAATTGTGCACCTGCAATCTGACTTCAAACTAGTAAAAAGTATTAAACTATATTTTTTATTATTATACCAGGTACGGCCCACTGAGCGATGTCGCTCTTTTTCAGAAGCGACCTGGCCACAAATGACAGCTCAATGAAGTGGCTTATCGCGTGGACATTTATAGCAGCAGCTAAATACTCCAAACGCCACGATTCTGAATGTGGAGGGAAAAATCGGAGGACCCGGAGAAAAATCCACGCTACCACCACGGGGAGAGAGACACAAAACTCTAAATAGCAGGCGTCAGGGTCGAGATCGAACCCACGATCTCCTGCACACCGGGGCGATATCTCGCCACCGTATTTCATGGAAAAATGCCACGAGCCTCCTGAGCAAAATAAACTCAGCGTCGACATGCTCAAATAAGCATTGGGCACCGCTTGTCTCCATTCCTATGGCAGGAACCGGCCGATCAGGCGAGGGAGTAAACATCTTGGCACCGCGGGGCACCCCCCCCAAGGTGACCATTCCCGAGCGGGACCCCCCCCCCTAACTTCCAAAGTGTGGTTGTTGTGGCCCTGCTCGTAACCAACGGGGTGGGGGGGGGGGGGGGCAGTGTGGGGACGTGCGCGATCGGGCGCCGTCACGCGTTGGTGCATCTCGCGTCGGTCCGTGTGTGACGGTGGCGAGAGCGGTCCGTGTACGCACGTTGAACTTCTTTCGCACCGGGGCAGGTTTCTGCACAACAACAAGATCGCACGCATCCCCGCCCGGGCCTTCTTCCACCTCGACTCCCTCAAGCGACTGTGAGCAGCCGCGTCGGCTTCCCCCACCACCACCCCCGCCCCCCTCCCGGTCGTCGGTGAACGTCCGCGTCCAATCACGGTAGTCGTTGTGTGAGCCAAGGTCGGGTCGCGGTAGAGGTACGGTCTGAGAGCGCACGTGTCCGGGACGGGACATGGCAAGCGTTGATTGCCATAACGCTTTTTTTTTCGGTTTGATTTAGAATGTGTGTGGCTTAATCGGTGCGTGCTGCTGGAAAAAAAAAACCCTGAAAAGTGCGCAAAGCAGCGTGGTGAGATCCGTGCTTGGAATCACAAAGGGGAGAAACACGTGGAATAGGGCCCACCATTCAAACTGCTAAGAATAGTGAGTGGGCATGGGTAGGACGCGTCGCTAGGATAGATGATGGACGATGGCCAGGAATAATAACGGGGCGGGAGCCAAGGAATGAATTGCGTCCGAGAGGACGTCCACCGAAGGAGATGCAGCGATGAGATCAGCTCATCTGCAGGCGCTGGATTGATTGTTGCATGGGAGGATCGCTAAAGGTGGCGGCGGCCTGGGAGGCCTTCATCGTGGCTGATTATGATGATGATGGTGGTGGTTTAAAATTTATTGGATGAAAGAGAAAAAAAATTAGATTTTAAAACTTTTGAAATTTAATCCACTTCGGCTTGATTTTGTGTAATTGTGATCTTCCAACACTGTCACCGGACATATAAAATACTTAACATTTTAGTCCGAGGGCACACAATAAACATGCGGGTATCTCATGTAAGTCAATGCAGTATGTGTTGGCTACCGCATGGGCGTGTGCATGTGCACACGCGCGTTTGAGCGCGCGTGAGTGTCAGTTTGTGAGTGTGTGTGATTTTTGATTTAAAGCTTTCGTGACTGCAGGGATTCATATTCTTGGTTCTTTCGTTAAAGTCACCACGTAGAAGGGAAACAATAAAATGATAAAAATATAAAACAATAAAATTCTCACGACGTTTCGACTGCAACACAAGCAATCATCATCAGGTGTGGTTTTCACACCTGATGATGATTTTATTGTTTCCCTTCTACGTGACTTTACCGAAAAAAACCAATAACATAGTGTGTGTGATGTCAAAGTGCACCAAAGTGCTGGCGCAAACACCACGGTGAGCTCACCACCATGGTGAATGGAGGCTGTTATTATTATTGTTGTTGCTGCGCATGCAGGCGTGTGCACCGTATGTGTGTGTGCGTGCTGATATGTCTGTATATGTATACAATCAAAGACAAGCTGGGAGTGATTGGCGCACTGCGCTACGAACCCGGCAACCCGAATTCGATTCCCGCTCACGGCCAACACCAGTGACAGTGATCTGAACCGGTCCTGGGCCTCCTCTAGGTCGACTCGGACTAAAACGAGTACTTGGTGCAGTGCGTAAACATCGCCACTTCGGAGACAAAAGCGGCAGGTAGTGGCGCTGGCCACCCACGCACCTCGTGCGCCGTGCCGGCCTTCGCAGGCGCTACCCGCTAGCGGCGCTTGCCCCAGCGGTCCGTCAAGGCCGCACGGTGAATCTCTGTCTCTGCGGCAGGCGGCTGGACTCCAACCGGCTGGTTTGCGAGTGTGACCTCAAGTGGCTGTCAAACCTTCTCAAGTCCATCCTGAAGCACGGCAACGGGCAGGCGGCCGCCACCTGCGAGCAGCCGGCGAGCCTGTACGGACGCACGCTCGTCTCGCTCAGCGCCGAGGAGTTCGACTGCGGCGAGCCGCACGCCGGTAGCGACACGCAGCGGCACACCGACAGAGTTCCCCACCCCCCCTACCCCCCCGTGTAGCTCACAGCTGTTAGCGAGCGTCTACGAAGAGCGGCACGGCGTGTGTGTGTGTGTGTGGGGGGGGGTCGGCCCCACGCCCGGCTGTCCTCGTCTCCCCAGTGCTGATGTTTGCACAACGGCACCGAGGCCGAGTCCCAAGAGCGGTTCACGTACACATGCGCACGCAGACGCAGCCACGTAGAGGTGCACTCGTGCTCGAGCTAACGACGTGCCCTCGTCAGCAGCTCCATACAATTCGTTTTGTCTTGATTTAATGTTCATAGGGGCACGACGGAGCGTCTACACCTGCTCTCAGCAGATCTCGGAAGCTGAGCAGGCTTGAGCCTGGTCAGCGCTCGGATAGGTGACCTCCCCACCCCCACCACCACAATGCAGAACCACAGCTGCTGTAGGCTGCTGCATTACTCCGTTGTAGGCAGAGTGCGGCACAGCAAGTCGATATTTTTACAACGCTGTAGCCTCATAGCTACGGTCTCACTTCACGTACCCGCACCGACTCGCTGGATAATGGCTTCGCCTCGACGCACCGGTCACGTTGGTTGTTTCGCCGCACTCCCCCACGGCGGTGAGTGCCGGCTGGTGAATGGCGGGCACAGGACCGGCGACGGTCCCCATCTGCCTTCCGATTGCAAGACACAAAATGCTCGCTGCACCGTTGCTGACCGTGACGCCGCCGCCGCCGCCGCGGGCAGCGGAAATTTCCCAGCGGTCAGCGGGATTGCGGTCCCGAGATCTAAATGGCAGTGCCGCGCACAACACGGACTCCAGCTCAGCGGCACGCACACATCATGCCGCAGCAGCTCGGCCCCCTTCGACTGAACCTCCTTGCCTGGCCCTTTTTTTGCGTGTTTCGAACCACCTCTGTACCCCCCCCCCCGCGCGCGCGACCGACCGACCGACCGACACAGAGCGGCCCCGCATCTTGGCGGAGCCGAGGGACGTGGACGTGACGCTGGGCAAGACGGTCCACTTCACGTGCCACGCCGAGGGGAACCCCAAGCCCGAGATCATCTGGCTGCACAACAAGTGAGACGCCACCGCCGCTGCGGTCGACATTGTCTGCTGCGCTTCCGACTGGCATGGTTGGCCACGTGCGGTGCGTGAGAAGTTCCAACGTACGCGCGCGTACGTTGACCGGTCGCTGGCCACCAGCGCACCGTCCCGCTGGCGCTCCTCTAATCAAAGTGTCATCGTCACAATCGCCCATCATGATCGTCGTCGTCGTCGTCGTCGATACCGTCATTGTCGTTTTCGTTATTTTCACGAGCGTCATCGTCGTTGTCATCGTGATCACCATGGTTACTGCGTTCATCATCGTCGTTGTCGTCGTGATCGCCATGGTTACTGTGTTCATCATCGTCGTTGTCGTCGTGATCACCATGGTTACTGTGTTCATCATCGTCGTTGTCATCGTGATCACCATGGTTACTGTGTTCATCATGGTCGTTGTCGTCGTGATCACCATGGTTACTGTGTTCATCATCGTCGTTGTCGTCGTGATCACCATGGTTACTGTGTTCATCATCGTCGTTGTCGTCGTGATCACCATGGTTACTGTGTTCATCATCGTCGTTGTCATCGTGATCACCATGGTTACTATGTTCATCATCGTCATTTTCATCGGCATTAGTATCATTATCATCATTATCATCGTCACCGCCATCAACTACCATCGTTAACAATATCATCCTCTTTATAGTTAATTTCATGATCATTCTCGCCATCATCATCGTGATTCCTCTCGGGTGGGTACATTGAGCACCAGCTGGTGAAGCCGCACCACCACAGCGGCGCCCCTACAGAGAGAGAGAGAGAGACTTGTTCCTGTCATAGGAATGTGCACAAAGTTCACCCCCGGCTGATGGCAGCTGGTGACTGCCAAATGCACGTCTTGAGCACGTGGGGCGCACGTTGGCGGTGTTCTTTTAAATCCTTCTTCTTCACTTAAATACGAAGTAGAATGCCACCCTTTTAAAGCATTTCTTTTTTTAATATAGAATCCTGGCTCATCTGAACCGTTAATTCACGGACCCAGCCAGTTTCCTGACTTAAAACAGACACGGGCACGCGGAACGTTAGTGCGGCCTCACGGGTGCGTTCTGCCAAGGACAACACACGAATAACCAGTTTACAACATTCGACGCCTCCTGCGTCAAGTGCACTCGTTATGGACGGTTGTTTTCCGGAAGAGCGCACGGTTTAAATTCGTTATAGTTACGGGACCGTTCATCCACCTCGCCCCCGACGTTCAAAATCGTTTTTTTTAATTTAATTTAGCTACTCATTTAAAGCCCCAGTTTGCCTAAAAGGGCTCCGAGCACATGCCATGAATACGCGCCTGAGCCAATGTTTACATCCCGGTTATATTTATAGTCAAACCTGTCCCGGTGGGCCAATGAAATTGCTCTGAATAACTTTTTGTTTTGTATTTAGCTTTCATGTTCCTGTTTCCTTTATAAATGAGAAAGTGACCCCCTTCTTAAGGGCGACAATTCCACACAACAAAAAATCCAAACTCTTTGGTTCTTTCGGTAAAGTCACGTAGGTAGTAGAAAATAATAATAGATCACGACGTTTCGATCGCAACACAAGCAATCGTCATCAGGTGGGACAACCACACAAGCAATCGTCATCAGGTGGGATAACCACACCACCTGAAGACGGTTGCTTGTGTTGCAATGGAAACGTCGTGATCTATTATTATTTTTTCTACCCACGTGACTTTACCGAAAGAACCAAAGAGTATGGATTCCTGCAGTCATGAAAACTTCAAATCTAAATAATCCTTATTCGATCCTTTATTGTCTCAAGTTTGTTGGGCAGCAGAGTTCCAAATTCCTGGCCATAGGCCATTCTCGCACATTGCCTCTTGTGTAATGTTTCCTCTGTAGGGCGGTGCTGCCGATGAATGCTCTTTGTGGGAAGTCAACTTGGGTAAATCCACAGACTCAAAGTCACGAAATGTACACAAAGCATTACCCAATGTGAGGTCGATGTTACTCTGTATAACCCAACTTCACTAATTACGTGTGTCATGCCTTTTCTTGTGGTTTATTGACAGCAATATGTCAAACACGTAAAACAAGTGCATATTTATTTTTTAACTGAGGCGACATGCGGCGGGTCCGTCACATCACGTTGTGTCGCACGTACACACACCGTCAACATCAGCTTCACCGGGAATGAAAATCAGCGGGCAGAAAGACGGTGAACGGACTCGCAACCCCAATTAATTTTTATTGTGAATCCTTTAAAGCACATCATGATATTTATTTTGAACACGGTAAAATAATGAACTGCGCAAGGTTGGAGCAATGTTCTCTGGTCGTGAGAAACTCCAGTTCCATACCAATGCATTTGAAAATGTAGATTGAAAACTCATTTCTTTTGAACTGCTTTTTGTGTTTTAGTTGGCTGCCCTTCCCCCGCACCTCCGATTAGTGCGGTTGCCTACGTACGGTGCGAAAGAAGCTCAACGTACACACGTACCCATACAATGCTCAATCGAGAAGGAAGGACCGCACAATGCATTCGCGATTCAAACACGTGTGGGCGAAGGAGCCAAATGACCCACCGTGCCCACGTCCTCCCTCTCTTGCGCACCGCAGCAACGAGGTGGACATGACCGAGGATCGGCTGGACCTGCTGGAGAACGGCACGCTGATGATCCGCAACACGCGCGAATCCGACCAAGGGATCTACCAGTGCATGGCTAAGAACGTGGCGGGGGAGGCGAAGACGAGCGAGGCTCTGCTGCGCTACTACGGAGGACCCAGTGAGTGGGGCCCACAGACGTCACGTGAACGGTGGGGGGGAGGGGGTGGGCAGCACTCGTGACTGGCTGGCTAGTTGGATAGGGGGTAGTACTATGGCTAGTACTAGTGGCTGGTTGGTTATGTTATAATCAGTGTGAGTGAAAGGGATAGTTCTCGTGGCTGGCTAGTTGGTTAGAAGCTATGGCTAGTCCTAGTGGCTGGCTGGCTAGTTGGTGAGAGGCTATGGCGGGTTCTAGTGGCTGGCTAGTTCGTTAGGGGTTATAGCTAGTTGTAGTGGCTAGCTAGTTGGTTAGAGGCGATGTCTAGTTCTAGTAGCTGGCCGGCTAGTTTGTTAGGGGTTATGGCTAGTTCTAGTGGCTGGTTGGCGAGTTCGTTAGGGGTTACGGATAGCTCTAGAGTCTGGCTAGTTCGTTAGTGGTTATGGCTAATTCTAGTGGCTGGTTGGCGAGTTTGTTTGGGGTTACGGCTAATTCTAGTGGCTGGTTCTAGTGGCTGGTTGGCGAGTTCGTTAAGGGTTATGGCTAGTTCTAGCGGCTGGCTGGCTAGTTGATTAATGGTAGGGTGAGCATTTGCTTGTCTGGTGTGCTCCACCCTCGAGATTCCTGTCCCTTACCCCCACTGCCAGGCATGGATGTTCAGGTTCTGGTGTTTGCGGCTCCACACGCGGAGGGAAACGCGCGCGGAGTGGTCTGTGTGTGCTTTTGGCCCCAGGCGGCCGGAGTCTGCTGACTCCGGCCCAACTGATAATGTGCCGCAGCAAACATTGTCAAGCAGGCTTACTGTGTTTAAGGGGGTTTCAGTTCATAATGTTTACGTTGGAAAGTGCTGTAGAGATAATAGGGAAGAGGAGGCTCCATTGGGTGGGGTATGTGTGCCAAGTGGAGGAGGGCGGTCCACCGAGGCAGGCTTCGCAGTGCCACCCAGAGGTTGCTGAGCAATGGGAAGAAAAAAAAACCCTAAAGCCAGATGGACGGTCGAGTCCGGCATCCGATGGCAGTGACGTGGCCTTTGCAGTAGCAGCGTTCGCCGGTCGTTTGCAGAGGTTCACGGTTCGTCTCCATTGGTCACCCCGATCGTTCTTGAGGGTTGCAGTACCCATAGTGACGCTACGTGGTGTCCGCTTCAGAGTGGAGGACGTCAAAGACCCCCGCACGAAATTCGCAATTCGCAAGGGGAGGTCATCGTGTGGCGGCGTCAGGGTCCGAATGACCAAAAATGTAATATTACCCGCAAAATGAATAAATTGTGATTATACAGAGCGATCATCGTCCGCCCTACCGGCAGCCTAATGCCTGATTGCAGGCCAGGGTGCTGAGTCACCTGGTGCTGCGCAGGGACAGCTGCCAATGGTGGTGCCCTTTCAAATGCCTGAGATGAGATGTGAGATGTAAAGCGTTGAGACTTCCCGGTGTAGAGGGCACTATTTCAATCGCAACTCATGATCACGATCACGAACTAATGTACTAGCGAATGTGTAAACAGCAGAATGATCTATCACTGCATAGAAGAACGTGTGCTTTTTCTATCTTAGTTGCTGAGCACAAGCAGTCAGCCAGGGAGAGCGCGAATAATGATTGAGCAGATCGAATCACAAACACTTTCCTTGAGTTGAACAAGGTGATCGGATCTGGGGAAAATAATGAAAGGCAGGGGAGCTCAAAAGTTGAGAACGAGGAAAAAAAATAATGATTTGTTCTGCTCTGATGACCACTCGATTTGGTAGAAACGAGTCCTTGACATTGACGGTGGTCCCAAAGTGTGAGGTTTACTGGATCGTAAACCAATATAGCAGCGATAAAAGAGTGACAAGAAAGCGACTAAACGATGGTGAGACAATGGAATAAATCCGTGGTTGGAGTAAATAAGAGTAGGGGCTTCATTTACATAGGTAAAGGTGGTCGAGAAATCACAGAGAAGATGAGAGAGAGATAAAAGGCTGGTGTGGTTCGGTCATTTGGAGAGACAACAGGAAAATTATGTGGGTCAGAAGGTGCAAGTGATGCAAGTGGAAGGAAAGAGATCAAGAGGCAGGCAGAAGAAGAAGAGCTGGGTGGGGGTGGGGGGGGGGGGGCGATGTAGTGCGATCGGACACGGTGGCCCGAGGAGCGGAAAGAGAGATGGCGCAGGACATGGGCAGCGTTGAGAAGGTTGGCAAGGACAGCGGGACACCCCCAATACGAGTGGTACAGACGCGTGGAAGATGAAGCCCTTTAACATGCGTAGCCTCATACACGACTCAACCGTCACGTGAGTGTGACCTCAACCTCAAAGCAGCAGGCACCATGATATGATGCCGGTCGCATCTCCTGCTTTGCTCTCGATCCTCACAAAACTCTGCCCGACCCCCCCCCCCTTCCCCCACCGACCCCCGTAAGCCCCGGCGACCTTCGTGATCCAGCCCCAGAACACGGAGGTGCTGGTGGGGGAGAGCGTGACGCTGGAGTGCAGCGCGACGGGACACCCGACCCCGCGCATCACGTGGACTCGCGGCGACGGCTCGTCGCTGCCCCGCGACCCCCGCTTCTCCACGCCGCCCACGGGCGGCCTGCACATCCACAACGCGTCGCGCGCCGACGCGGGGCAGTACTCGTGCCACGCGTCCAACAACCAGGACGCCGTGCGCGCCAGCGCGCTCATCATCGTGCAAGGTGTGCGTCTGTCTGCGCGCGTGTGTGCGCGTGTGTGCGCGTGTGTGCGTGTGTGTGTGTTGAACAAAGATAAAGATCCCCCCATATAGCCTTAACAGACTGTAGGGGCAAGTGCTGTTAGCGAGCACCTATGAAGGCCGGTAACGGTACACGAGGGGGTGGGTGGCCAGCACCACGCCCGACCGCCTTTGTCTCCCTAGTGGCGATGTTTACACACCGCACCAGGTACTCATTTGAGGCTGAGTCGACCTAGGGGAGGCCCGGGACCGGTTCAGATAATCGTCACTGGTGTTGGCCGTGAGCGGGAATTGAACCCGTGTCGCCGGGTTCATAGCGCAGCGCGCTAACCGCTACACTATAGTGTAGCGGTTAGCGGTAGTGTAGCGGTTAGCGCGCTGCGATATGAACCTGGCGACCCGGGTTCGTTTCCCGCTCACGGCCGACACCAGTGACGATTTTCTGAACCGGTCCCGGGCCTCCCCTAGGTCGACTCAGCCTCAAATGAGTACCTGGTGCGGTGTGTAAACATTGCCACTAGGGAGACAAAGGCGGTCGGGCGTGGTGCTGGCCACCCACCCCCTCGTGTACCGTTCCGGCCTTCATAGGTGCTCGCTAACAGCACTTGCCCCTACAGTCTGTTAAGGCTATATGGGGGATCTTTGTCTTTGTCTTTGTGTGTTGAACTACTTTGGCACGGACCGTAGCCACGCTAATCGGAGGTGCGGGGGAAGGACGACAATCTTGATTTTGAAGCTTTCGTGATCGCCACACTAAGCAATCGTCTTCCCACCTGAAGACGGTTGCTTGTGTGGCGATTGAAACGTCGTGATCTATTATTTTTTTTCTACCTACGTGACTTCACCAAAAAAAAACCAATGAGTAAAAGGACAACAATCTAAACGCGAAAATCAGTTCTAAAGAAATGAGTTTTCAACGTAGATGTTAAAAGCGCACAGCTCCAGTGGCTTCCTAATATTGGAAGGAAGAGCGCTCCAGATGGCCGTAGACGCGCCTCTGAAAGCACGTGATGCAGTGACTGTCTTCGATGATTGGCCAAGAACGATGAGTAAATGGTTGGGAACCAAAATTGTCGTCTTGTCTGGATTTCGTCTCGCGGTGCTGCGTTGGGAGCGTTTTTGTTGATGTTTCCAATTGGCTGCAGCACAGATTCCTCAAAAGACAATTTCATGCCACCTCCTATGGGGGCCGTTCTACCATTCGCATCGTTTTTTGTGTTGATCATTCCGCAAATGGGTGCAATGACGGCTTTCTGCGGGGCTGGCCCATTGGCTGGCGAGCAGAGGTGTGCGCCGATTCACAGAAAGAGTGACAGACGTCATTTGTCGTGGAAGCGAGAGAGAGAGAGAGAGGGGGTGTGTTTCCTGGAAGACGTTGCGAAAACAGCTTTACGTACGGGTGTGTACTGCACGTGACCTGCAAAATAAACGCCCTTTAGAGTAAGTCCTCTTGAAAATGAAGAACCGTGCATTTTAAACGCTGGTATAAAATTGTATTTGTTTAAATTAAAACCTTATTACAGGGTGGGCGTACTTCCTCACCCAACGCTAATAAAAATGTTTCCAAACAAAAGGACTCTTTGCTAAAATAAATTGACCGTCAGAAAAATATTTTTCTCGGTGAGCGATGCTAGTTTTTGCCAGCGTTCTCAGGGTTCAAATCGCCCTCCCCACGTCTACGAAACGCGAATGGAGGCGTTGGTGGCGGGGGGGGAGGAGAAAATCGTTTCCTGGAAAAGTTTGTTTACAATACACGCACGGCTCCGTTGCAACCTGCAGCCAGCCGGTGGACCTTGATTGAAGTCGCATTTTGGTTGGCTACACACGGTGCGAAAGAAGTTCATCGTACGGTATTCAGCCGGCCGACTTTAGCAGGTTTGATTCCATTTAGTAATTAAAACAAAAGAATCTAAATAGTTTTATTGAAGTGAAACTTTCTGCTGCATTTCTCTCTCCGGCCAATGGCTGCACGTAAAGACGTCGAGTCCTTTTTTGGTATTTTAAGAGAATGACATCGATAAAAAATAATTATGACATTCTTGTTAATATTATGCATCAGTAATACAGTATTTAGAAACCGGGTGCAGCATTATATATGGGAAACAAGAAATATGTACGTATGTATGTTGAACCTCTTTCGCACCGTACGTAGCCAATCACGCTTATCAGTTGGGTATGCACGGAAAAAATACTGAATAAATACAATAATTGGCCGTATTATTTTTAAACATGTAAACATACTTTATGATGAGAATAGTTTCAGACATGGATAAAAATTTACTTTCTTAGGTTAAACAAACACGCGGGTGGTCATATGATACCTCTCGACTCGCTGTGACTGGCCACACATTTCTTTAATGTTGCAACTGTTGCACTGGGTAGGAACAATACCCGAATAAGAGAGACGAGGTAGGAGAGTGCATTGAGGTGGGGAGTAGAGAGAGAGAGAGAGATGAGAGAGACGAGGTAGTTGACAGCGAGGAGGGCAACAGAGAGAGGAGAGAGGGAGGCGACTTACGGATCACCCGTGCGGTTGTGTCCCACACAGAGCCGCCAGAGTTCGTGGTGTTGCCCACCAACCAGACGCTGGTGGAGGGTCAGACCGTGGACTTCCTGTGCGAGGCACGCGGGGATCCCCAGCCGAGCATCTCGTGGACCAAGGCCGGTGCGGTCTCGACCGCAGGCTCGGCTGCACTGCTGTCACTTTCTCGGAGACGCTTACACGTGTGGCGGCCGTGGTGTCAGTCCGGCCCTAGACCCAGGGGCCTCCCTATGGCGTGCTGGTGGTGTTATTTCGTTTAAACCCGAACTGTATTTCGCTCGGCATGCAATTCAGTGTGAGTTTGGTAAAAGCAGGGGGGGTGGGGGCATAGATGTGGGCGCAACGTACAGTACAACAATGTATTTTTCTGCAATTCACTCCGCCGAACACCACCTTGTACAGTCCCACAGCGGTGGACACGCATCCCAAGCACTGTCCAGGGCTCAATCCCACTTACATTCTGAAATGTGATCTGAGATCGGGCAAATTTCCACGTGATTCGGTCATCAGCCTGAAATGAATGCCTGGTTACGGTGGGTAAACATCACCACCGGAGATACAAAGGCGGCCGGGCGTGACGCTAGCCGCACCATCCCCTTCGCGCGTCGCGTTGACCTTCATGGCAAGGGGCCATCCATTGAGTACGTACACATGGAGGGGGTAGAGGGGGGGTTAACCCAAATGCGTACACTTCTGTATGGGGGGGTCTACTGACAGTGTACGTACGCATAGGAAACGGGGGGGGGGGGCAGAGGGTGAAGCCTCGATAATAATTTGTCTACATTGGCCTTCAAATGAGTTAGATAGTCCGGCGGTGGACTATCTGTTTGCTCAAACACGTTAATATTATTAATCCTTGATCGTTTCTGCGTGGATTAAATATCGGCCGTTCTATAGGATTCGGGGGGGGGCGGGGGGTGTTAAAAGTCCGCGTGCGTACAGAGAGCGTGGGGGGGGGGGGGGGGTGGAGGGGTCAAGTTCTGACAGATTTCTGCGTGCCTACTAAATGGTTGACCCCTACCGGCGCTTTGCCCCAGCAGCCTGTGTGGGTTCCAGCGGGCACGTGGTGTGTGGTCTTCGTGTCCGTGCCGTGCCGAGCGAGCAGGTTACCCCGTGGTGAGCGAGGGACGCTTCTCTCTGCTGCCGCCCGGCACGCTGCGCATCGCGCGCGCCGAGGTGCGCGACAGCGGCCGCTACCGGTGCCAAGCGAGGAACGCCGTGGGCTCGCGGAACGCCGACGCCACACTCAGTATCACCCGTCGCCGTGAGGGGCCACCGTTCTACCACTCCACCACCTCCACCAGCTCCACATTCCGTGTCTGCCTCCACCACCACCACCTCCTTCACCGCCACCTACACCTCAACTGCCATGTCCGCCAACTCAACATCCTCTGTGTCCACCTTCATCTTCATCACCACCACCGCCACCACCACCACCTCCGCCTACACAGCCAACACGTCCAGCTCCGATTAGCGCGGTTGGAGGTTCAATATAAATACGCACCTCACACTCTCCTGCCAGACAGCCGCGCTGCACAATGCAACAGTCAGGAGAATATTAAACAAACTCACACGCTCGCCAAAAACACCGCTAACGGAGAGGGAAGCTGATATCGTCGGAGAGGGAAGCTGATATCGTCGGCGACATTCCAGGAGGCGGCTGTTCTACGTCGCAGGGGGGCAGATGCATCTCTCTGTCTCCCTGCATCTCTCTGTCTCCCTGCATCTCTCTGTCTCCCTGCATCTCTCTGTCTCCCTGCTATCTTTCTTCGTTTGCGATAGTAAATATATTATTATGACACTCGCCAAAGCAGCGGCGAGCTGGGCTGCATTCATCGCAAATCTCATTCGTTACACAGTCACTTTTAATGTGCAGTTATTACTGACCCAGGTAAAAAGACCAACTTCCACCACTAAATTGTAGTATATACCATCATCGTGCGCATTTAATCGGCCTTAATTGTTCAATTCTTAATCCACGATCCGCCCGCGTTTCTTGCCCACCATTATAGCACGACCGCTCAGAGTTCCCACTCGGCTCCTGGGGCGTCAATCGTCTCGCAGACGTACGCGGGAATTGTTGCACGTTGCCTCCTTCAAGGTCTCGTTCCGTTTCCCCCCCCCCGCGCGCTGTGTATTCACAGAGGCGCCGGTGATCACGGTCTTGCCCTCCGACATCAAGACGGAGTCTGGTCACCACGTGCGAATATACTGCAGCGCACAGGGAGAGCCGCAGCCCGGCATCACCTGGACGAAGGTAGGACAGCTCACAGCCTCACAACGCCCCACCGACTCACACGGCGATCATGCAGTTTATTGCATCCAGCTATGGGAATGTTCGTCAGCAAAGCGCTTTGCACGTTGGTCGACCATGACCGGCGGGGTGGACAAAGGTCGTCGAGCGTGACGACGGCTTATGGCTGCTACACACCAAACAGCAGAGCTTGACCGGCTACGACGGGACAAAAATAACGAGTCTGAATGAAGGCGCGGACTTGAGATACTTTCGTAACCTTAGCGGAGGCTGCGGTTGACCAAAGAAGAGCAAAACTGACCTTTGGCTATTTCTGTTACACCCGAAGATATTCTGAGTTCGCCCATTGTCTGGCCTGTCAATATTGAGGGGGTGGGGTGGAGGGACGTGCACTCCTCACCCCAACATTAAAAACTTAAAGTGAACGAAGCATTTCATGTTTTGGTCGACTAGACTACGACGAGGACTTAACGGAACCCACAGACTTGGCAAAGACTGTGACTGATATAAAACTGCTGGCAAACTTCAGACTGCCCGCAAACCCATCCAGATCCCCTTCCCGCACCCCTCACGGCTTACTCTCTTGAATCTCAAGATGCTCTCAAGAAAGCTTCAGACCTTGTCAGCCCAGGCTTAGACGCAGCTTCCTCTGCCATGGTCACCCCCCACACGGTGCCCCCTCACAGAGCCCCCTCACAGAGCCCCCTCCCCCCACACGGAGCCCCCCTCATACGGAGCATCCACAGGGAGCCCCCCCGCCAGATGGAGCTCCCACACAGAGCTCCCCCCCCCCACACACAGAGCCCCCCCACACGGAGCCCCCACACAGAGCCCTTCCCGCCACACGGAGCCTCCCCCACACGGAGCCCCCCACACGGAGCCCCCACACGGAGCCCCCCACACGGAGCCCCCACATGGAGCCCCCCCCCCACACGGTGCCCCCCACATGATGTGTTCGGGGGTATGGGAGGGGGGCGATAGTAATTAACATTCCTGCAAAGTGGGGCTCACGCTAATGAATGAACTCACGCAGGAAACGAGTGCGGCTTGTGCTTACGAATAAAAACGCGTGCGCGCGGACGGGGATACGCATTTACATGGGGAAATTAAAAAAATAATGTTGTTACGTATGTGGAAAATGGAAGAAATTCTAAAAGTGAAACAAAAGGAAATTGCTTCAGGCAGCAAAAGTATTTTTTTTTACGAAATAGGTTAATTTAATCCTTTAATGATTTTGTAAAATAATTATTCACGGCACCAATTTTAACAAAGTGACACTATCAATACCATTTTTCTTCTTATTATTATTGTCACCGTAAGACTAGAAAAAAGGAGACGTGGATTAGAGGTCGTTCATAGGTTAGAGACGTCGTCTGTTGGTTGTGAAGAAAAGTCCGAATGAGAATCTTTATTTCTACTATTAGGAGGATTCCGATGAGCTATGAAGCTCTTTTTCACAGATATCCCGTAGGGCAGCGGTCCCCAACCTTTTTGGCACCAGGGACCGGTTTCGTGGAAGACAATTTTTTCACGGACCGGTGGGGGGGAGGGGAGGTTCATCATTGGATCTTTCCCCCTTTTCAAAGAAGCTCTCCAGCGACGTTTGTTTTTTACTCATTGTGGCTACTAGGGGTTAGAGCTTGTGGGCTTACTCATTGTGGCTACTAGGGGTCAGCTTGTGGGCTTACTCATTGTGGCTACTAGGGGTCAGCTTGTGGGCTTACCAACACTGTGACTGAGACGAGTGCGCAGTGCGGGAAGAGGCGCGGATGGAAGTGGTAAATAATAAAATAATGGGTGGGCCACGCGCGGACTCACCGCTCTCACCTCCAGCTGCTGTGTGGCCCGGTTCCTAACAGGACACGAATCGGTATCGGTCCGTGGCCCGGGGGTTGAGGACCCCTGCAGTGGGTGCACGGGGGTAGAACGTCACAACAACAAACAATACAAAAACACAATAGCAGTGCAAATTATAGGATAGGTAAACAAATCACTAAAAACACTGTTTTTGTATTACCAGGCAAAGCCCACTGAGCTCTTTGCTTCTCTTCAGAAACGATTAAACTAAACACTCTTTTTTATTTTACCAGTTAAGGCCCATTGAGCTATATTGCTCTTTTTCAGAAGCGATCTGGCCACAAATGACAGCTCAACAAGGCGGAAATGTACAGCAGCCAAATCCTCCGAATGCGTGTTTCTGAATGTGGAGCGAAACACCGGAGGACCATGAGAAAAATCCCACGTGGCCACGGGGAGAACACACAAACTCGAAAATATACAGCAGCAGGCGTCGGGGTCGGGATTCAAACCCACGACCTCCTGCATACCAGCCGAGGGAGTTAACATTTCGCCACCGCGGCGGCTTGCCGCAAATGATGGCTCAACAAAGTGGCGTGCCACGGGGTAATTTATAGCAATCAAGTGAGTGGGCTTGGCCCGTACGCGTCTCCAGAAGGGAGAGACGATGGCCGGTGGTCGAGACTAACGACGGAGTGGCAGCCAAAGTAGGGAACAGGCACCGAAAAACAGATCCCCCGCGAGACGGGAGTGAGAAAACCAGCCCAAGTGCAGGAGCTAGACGGGTCGTTGCATCGCGGCACCGTGAGAGATGGCCACGGATTCGGAAGGGCCTTCATCCGGCAGTGGATAGATCATGTCTGAGGATGATTATGATGAACATGGCTCTGAGGAACACGTAGAAAAGATGTCAAAAATGGTTAATCGTACACTTTGGCAATTGGGCAGCGATAAATGGCATATGTTTGGGTTAAATCAGGATTTGTTCACGTCTTTTTGTTCTTATCACCTGAATGATTTCTAAAAAAAATGATGATTCATGTCCTTGTAGCGAGCTAAAGCAGAATGAAATGCTCACCAATGAACAGGGAAAATGTGCATCGTGCATTAAGAGGCTGCGATCGTAGATATGCAGGGTCATCATCGTCATCCTCAAACTATACGGCGCCTACCCGTTCAGTGCATCTCGAGGCACCAAAACGAAGGCGTATGTGAGATTGTTACTCAGTAAGAAGGTTTTGCAGAATAAGCACGACGTTCGAACACAAAACAGTGCAGACAATATATGCAAAGAATGAGAATAAGTACGATTTACAATAGAAACCGTGCTTCAGACTACCCCCTGGGGTTTCCTGTGATCCCAACCAACGTCTCATGAACCTGGCCAAGTGGAGACGGTGGCCGAACGAGCCGCTTCTCTTTGCTGACAGATATTAATGAGCAGTGTAGCGTGACTGGTGGAATGTGTGTGCGCGTGTGTGTGGTACGTGTGGTGTGTCTGTGTGTTGTGTCTGTGTGGTGTGTGGTACGTGTGTGGTGTGCGTGTGTGGTGTGTGTGTGGTACGTGTGGTGTGTCTGTGTGGTGTGTGTGGTACGTGTGTGGTGTGCGTGTGTGGTGTGTGTGGTACGTGTGGCGTGTGTGTGGTATGTGTGTGGTGTGCATGTGTGGTGCGCGTGTGTGGTGCGCGTGTGTGTGGTGTGCGTGTGTGGTGTTGGTGTGTGGTATGGGTGTGTGTGTGTGGTGTGCGTGTGTGGTGTGTGTGGCGTGTGTGTGTGGTGTGTGTGGTATGTGTGGTGTGTGTGTATGTGGTGTGTGTGGAGTGTGTGGTATGTGTGGTGTGTGCGTGTGTGGTGTGTGTGGCGTGTGTGTGGTATGTGTGGTGTGTGCGTGTGTGGTGTGTGTCTACGGACTGGCGCTCACCTCCACGCGATATCCAGGAACGAGGCGAGATGGAGGAGACAATCTTTTTTTGTTTGTGTTACTTGTCGAAGCCAACATTTTATGCAACCGACTCAAATTATATAACTCAAACGAACACTTTTAATATATTGTCGCTGCGTAGATTAATTAATCTGCGTGCAATTACTAGTTGGTGTTATTGTTAATCTTACTGCTGGCGAGTTTTAATACGTTGGTAATGTCTTTTTATAGACTTTTGCCATTTTTGGTCAAACATTTCAAATGCAGGCCACTTCCAAAATGGAAAAAAACGCTGCAATCTATTTTTTTATTTAAAGCAATTCATCAACGTAACTGTTCTTTGCCCTTTGCCAACACAGAATGTGCCTTTAATTGTGACATCTTTCATCACAACATGGCCATAAGAAAAATAAAATTCTTGTCAAAGAGGAGCGGCTCGTCAACAGCATTGCAGATCATCCTTCTCAATATTTGGCTGCCGCACACAAGACTGGGCCCGCGGTCAAATTGAGCTCATTGCCATTTCAAAGTAATTGACATCAGCGTGCATCTGAAAGGCATTTACGTCCACAGTGCACATGACTTCAGAACATTGGCAAGGGGTAGTTGGGTGAGATGCGGGTGGGGGGGGGAATTTGCCAGCTGGCATGTTTTGGTGTAGGCCACAGAATCGGGAACGCAGCGCTGGTCTCCACACAAACGCTTTCGCATTTTTTTAACTTCGTTTTTTTCTTTTGGTGATTTGGAGAGAAGGGCGGTGAAATCTGTCGGGCGGCGAACGGTGTTCGCCCTTTCCGTCTTTCGGGAAGTTGCGACGACGTTAAAAAGGAGCGCAGAGTCACCAGTTTACTCCGCAGAGATTTGCAACAGCGGATTGTGCTTTTATGTTTGTTGTATCGGGTGATATGACTTTGGCCTGTGTTGTTTAGGTGCGTATTCACGCATTTTCCAGTGCCGGATTAAGCTAGTGGGGGGCCTGTAGCATATGTTATGAAGGGGCCCTAAATAAAAAAAACCCCACAAATATTAAAACACAAATTTGTAACCAGCACGGTAAAGTAATTGTATTTTTTTCATTTGCTATACAGCCAGATAAGACGACGAATCGCTAACCTTAAACACCCAGTCGTTCATAAAAGTTGAAGGCGGTATAGTACTATAGTGATAGAGCAAGTGCAGAATCACTTAACCGGAATTGATAGCTTGAAAGCATTTAACGCCGGGCCCTTGAAAGTGCAGGGCCCGTAGCTACTACATATATACTACATATGTAGTAGCTACTACATATATATTACATATGTAGTAGCTACTACATATATGCTACATATGTAGTAGCTACTACATATATGCTACATATGTAGTAGCTACTACATATATGCTACATATGTAGTAGCTACTACATATATACTACATATGTAGTAGCTACTACATATGTAGTAGCTACTACATATATACTACATATGTAGTAGCTACTACATATATACTACATATGTAGTAGCTACTACATATGTAGTAGCTACTACATATATACTACATATGTAGTAGCTACTACATATATACTACATATGTAGTAGCTACTACATATGTAGTAGCTACTACATATATACTACTACTACATATGTAGTAGCTACGAGGATGATCCGGCACTGCCCCTCGTGCGCCGTGCCGTCCTTGGTGGTCGTCAACAGCGCTTGCCCCAACAGTCTGTTAAGGCCCATACGGTGGAATTGTTATCTTTGCGCGTCTGTGTACGTGTGCATTTTTTTTTTCTCGAGGCACACAACATCGCTATACGTCGCGCCTGGGGCTACTCTGGGGAATGAAACAAATGAATGTGCTTCTCCCAGGGCATTCAGCTTGGACAAGAACAAACACGCGCGTGCTCGCATTCAAGCATCTGGCTGCATTTAGCACATTGCAAACCGGGGCACGCTCGTGTGCGCGCGCACGGCGACTCCCTGCAGTGAAACAGATGTCTTGAGGAAGGTGAATTAATAAATAATGTGTCCCACCTTTTGGTCCCAAGCAATTAGAAGATTCCTTGCAGTCACGGTTAAACGCTTCGCATGCCAGTTCACGCGCCGTTCTCTCTAGTGGGGGGTAATGACGAGTTGCGGTGCCCGATGTTAGAGCCGAGTGATGCTCCGCTTTGCCGCAACCGCTCCTCCTGCCCCCGTCGCCTGCAACTTGAATCGGCTAACGTGAGACACCCCCACCTTAACACGTAGTAGGCTCTCGTGACCAATATCCATGGTAGAGGTTTTCAATTTGGTTCGATCGCGTAAATATAAATGTGTCGTTGCACCTGCCACCACCCGACACAGCCAGTTAGTAAGGTTTGTCTCGTAAACAAAACATGCCAATTCGTTACTATTTCAGTAAACCGGTGTGTTGGAGAGTAAACCCACAACATTTACAATTCATTGAGGCTGGATGACAGCCACTAATTCTGGCTGTCGCCTGATGAGGCTGGTTGTAATCGCCTGTGAAACATCGTACTCGAATTGTAAATGTCGTGGGTTTACTCTCCAACACACCGGTGTGCTGAACTAGTAACTAATTGGCACGCTTTGTTTACGAGACAAACCTTACTAATTGACTGTGTCGGGTGGTGGTGGGTGCAACAACACATTTATATATACGCGATCTAACTAAAAAAAAACATCTATTCTGGGACACCCCGAAATCACACGCAGAGGGACAGGGTTTCACGTGGATTTCAGAAAGAGAGAATATACCCATTCATTTAATCATTCCTCGATGTTCTCTCTGCAAAGGAATGCACTCAATTATTTGCCCATCACCGAAATTCCTGGACCCGCCAGAGAATCGCTTCGGATGTCCAAATTCCCTGGCGTTCACGTTCGAGCGGGGCCTCCGTTTGTTGTCACTGATTTGAGCATCATTATTTTTTTTGTTTTACAAGCGTCTCGCTAAGCGGTGTGCGAGCGATCGCTGGATCTGAACGCGATCGCGTAGCGGCCGGCGGGGCCACTCGCCGATGCGCCCCAAAACACAAGTCGCGCGATTGCCAGAGTCCCTTTGGCAGGAACTCGCCGAAGCGATATGAGCACTCCCCGCGGAGGACGACCGTCGGCCAGGTCCGAAGCGCATTTGTGTGCGGCCGACGTTGCTCGGTTTTCTGGAGCCATGGGGCACATTCCCGCCGCGTCGGTCGGGGTGCCCGCGTGGATGCGCTTGGGCCCGTTACTGACCGTCGCGAGGGCTGTGCCGGACGTGTGGCTTTGCGGAGGGGCGTTGAGACGGCGTGAGCGGGCGGTGCAGACCGATGCTCGCGGTCACTATGCACGTGTCGAATCGCGCGCGTGAATTGCGCATTCTTTTTTGTTTTGTTTACTCCGGGCAATGTGCGCTTACGGGTTTGTACGTAGCGCATAGTACTCGAAGGGACTTCGTTTTTTTTTATTTTATTTATATGTTCAAGCCTTTGTCGATCTGTTGCGGTATTGAGCCTCTCCATGGTGTTAGCGTGGCTATACAGTACTTCACCACGCTGGTTAGCACAACGTTGTGAAGGCGGGGGACGGGGGCGGCGGGAGGAAGCGGCTTAGACAACGCTCACCACTGATGCCATCCATGACCGGGAATCGAACTCAAGTGGCTCGGCCTAGGGAACAGTTAAAACATCGCGTTCTACAACTTTACCCCCCCCCCCCCCCTACTCACCTTCCCCGAATTATCTTCACCAAACGGTAAAAAAAAGTATTGGACCTTGACTGTAATCATGCCAATTAATCAAATTGTGGGGGGACTTGCATCGCTAGAGCCCTAATCGTGGCCACACGTGGGCTGCATTATTGCCGTTGTTACTGTTATCAGAACCACACATTTCACTTTAGACGTGGCCACATGTCCAGACAACAGAATGTGCGGAATCCAGTGCACCTTCGTGACTGCTTTTTGACAAACAAAAAAAACGATGGTCAGTGGTTAGTACCTGTTTGCCGTGCCGGGCACGTGATTTTGTGCTCGCTGCATTGTCACGTGGAACAGTGGAATCTTCAGCGTCTGTGAATGTCACTGATCGGGCGACTCTTTCAAATGAGGCTCATCCCGGTCTCTTGAATTCTCACCTGGTTACACAAAATTAACTTGAAAACAGTGAAACCTTCTATGCTAATCGTTGAATCCCTTTTATTTTTAGGTATACACAGTTGTTCACATCGTACTATATTACCCAGGGCATTGGCGTGGGGAGCACGCTGCACTTGCAATCCACATGTTGCCAGCTAGATCTCTCGACGAGGGCAGTTGAAACAATGGTGAAGGTATTTTAATTATTCCCACCTCTATACATGGGCTCAGGACAGTCCATCAGCAGGTAGGGCGTGGATACTCCCATCTGTTCCAAAAGGTCTGGCCAGCGTTGCCAAGATTCCCGCCAGTGACTCTTTGAGAGCCACTTTAGCAGAGGACCCTTACACCGGCAGTGGCATGAGCAGGTAACTGCAGGCCTGCAGTGTTTATATTTTATTTCACTTTTCGTTTTTTTTTTCCTTCAAACATCTTTAATATTCGAATAAATGTTGAGTTTATTTTTTTACTTTGTTACGTCCCACATTTTATATTTGTACTGCATGCTGTCTTTATACGGTAATTGTTTTTTTTGTTATCGATTTGGGCCTCCACGATCGCGAACGCTGTCTTAACAGTGGGCCCAGCTTACCCCCATGTCACGTTGAGCCTCGGGGTCCCAACGCCCCTTCATCTGGCACAATAGTAGTAATGATTTTTAAAATAGCACTCGTGTCACATGCGTCTGGGTATTTCTGTACGTGGTAGGATGGATAAATTGTGCCGGGGCTGATGAGCTGAATTAGCTGAATTGTCAAAGCCAAGAGTATTTTTTTCGTCCTATAATTTGTTTACAGTCTCCTGTCCACATTTGCCCCTTCCAATAGTGTGTTGCTGTTGTTTAAACAACGTCGACGTGGGAAATAAAAACGTGGGAAAAAAACGTCAACCTAGGAGAGCGGTAGTGTAGTAGCCATTAGCGGCGCTGCGGTACGAACCCAGTTACCCGAGTTCAATTCCTGCTCACGGTGTGTAGTAAGCATCGCTACGGGAGTGGTGCTGGCCACCAACCCCTTCGTGTGCCGTACCGGCCTTCATAGGTGCTCGCAAACAGCACTTGCCCCAAAAGTGTGTCAAGGCTATACTGGGGATCTTTGTCTTGGTTTCTGTGTTGTTGTTGTTGTTTTCATTCACAGACTGACTGACCGAGTGTGCGTGCGTGCCCGCTGCGCAGGACGGGGCGCAGCTGTCGGAGAGCGGGAAGTTCGTGATGAGCGCCGAAGGCTTTCTCATGGTGCGCGACGTCAACACGGGCGACGAGGGCCGCTACGAGTGCGTGGCGCGCAACTCCGTGGGGCAAGCGTCCGCCGGCATGCTGCTCTCCATCAAGGGTCGGCACGCTGCCCACCACGAGCACCACGAGCAGCAGCACGAGCAGCAGTAGCAGCAGTATGAGCAGCAGCATGAGCAGCAGCAGCACGAGCAGCAGCATGAGCAGCAGCAGCAAGAGCAGCAGCAGCAAGAGCAGCAGCAGCACGAGCAGCAGTATGAGCAGCAGCAAGAGCAGCAGCAGCAAGAGCAGCAGCAGCAAGAGCAGCAGCAGCACGAGCAGCAGTATGAGCAGCAGCAAGAGCAGCAGCAGTATGAGCAGCAGTATGAGCAGCAGCATGAGCAGCAGCAGCAAGAGCAGCAGCAGCACGAGCAGCAGTATGAGCAGCAGCAAGAGCAGCAGCAGCAAGAGCAGCAGCAGCAGCAAGAGCAGCAGCAGCAGCAAGAGCAGCAGCAGCAGCAGCAGCAGCACGAGCAGCAGCATCCTCATCATTACCGTCATCACCCATCCTTAATACCAGCATGGCCATCATTTTCACCTCTCTGAATACAAACACGGTCATCCTTATCAGCACCTTGAATATAATCATGATGATGATGATGATCATCATCATCAATATCATCACCATCATTGTTATCGGCAAGTAGCATTCGCTTATGTATCAGAATCAACGCTGGCAGCAATATTAGTTTCGTCATCGTCATCACCTTGAATCATCACTATCAGCGTCTTACATATCATCATTATCACCATTGCCATCATTATCATCATCAGCCTGAAATAATATCACAGTAGAAACGTCTTAATAATCATCAGCACCAATGAGTACCTGGTGCAGTGTGTAAACATCAAAACTGGGGAGACAAAGGCAGCCGGGCGTGGTGCTGCCAACACGTGTCTCAGCAGTCTGTTAAATGCTATTCGGGGGACCTTTTGTGTTTGTCTTTGGAGGGAGTAAGTGGACGAGGCACTCCCATCGCCGGTGTCTCTCACACAGCTCCAGTAAAGCTCCCCACGTGTCGCCAGCGGCATCTTCGAACGAGTCCGCGCAAACCTGCGTCTTGACACCGGTGACGCACACACGTAACGCGCCGTGTGCTGCGGGCGGCATGTTCTGGAACCGTGCCTCGTAAGCCCCCCCCCCCCCCCCTCGGCTCCAGCATCTGGATTTTTTTTTTCTGGAAAGGAGAAAAAAAAGACACGCAACTGCTGGGTGATTCATGGCAGCAGATCCCTTCGAAAAAAGGATTTCTCACCAACGGGAGCCTCTGTTCTCTCGCCACTCAGCCTGAAAGCATTTGGCGATGACCGTGCCATGCGATGAACACAAGTGGATTCAAGCCTCCCGCGTGCCGTTTGTATTCGTAACACGTCATTGGTAGGGAGGGAGTTTGTGGATCACACAGGGATAGAGCCTATGGGAGGTTCCCACCTTTTGGGGCAAAGTGGAGCCTCATATTTCACGATACAATCGAGGCTGAATATAACCACAGCTGGCCTTGGCAGCAAGGCCAGCTGTGGTTATATCCGGAGTAGCGTCCTTGTACCAGAAGGCGCCCTTTGCATTTCCCCCGCCATGCTAATGTATGCATGTGTTGCTTATATCAGAACTGTGCTCATATAAGGTGTACATATATCCGGATTCCACTCACTGTGGAGGTGGCTGGGTACCACAGGGGCCTATTAATCTGTTAGGCCATGAAGCTGGCACTTCTGAGAGTTTTGGTTCAAGTTCAGGTTTCAGCACCCCTCAGACTGTACTAGGTTCAAGTCGAGGTATCATCACCCCCCAACCCCCCAACCCCCCCCCCCCCCCCCCCCCAAGACTGGACCAAGTTCAAGTCCTGGTTTCATTACCCCCTACCCACCGCCCTCAGACTGGACCAGGTTCTCAAGCAGCGTGAGTTGATGGCCTCAACCCATTGACCGATGACCGTGGCAAGGGAAACTCAATAAAATGTGGTTGTGGATTGTGGATGAATTTCAACTCTGAAGACGAAAAATGAGCACCTCAACAGCAGGGCACGGTGAGGTGGTGCAGCACCACCCAGCGTGGATAAGAGGCGATTGAAGAGACCTCGAGGAGTTCCATTCCGTGATGTCGTCTTGCCAAGACCGGTCTCTGACGTGGGTTGATGCGACGCTCCTTTCTGTGAGCGTTCCGAACGGGAAGTTAGATGTCTCACGACAAAGCCACGGACAGAATAATTGGAATATAATTGTAATTATAGAAAGCCAATTATAATTCTAGAATTGCAATTATAATTCAAGAATTATAATTATTATTCGAGAATTATAATTAAGTACGGTGCAAAATAAGTTCAACATTTCTACAAATGTATTTTTTTCCCATGACGATTGTACAAATGATTCACAACATGCGGTGGCTACAGAAGTTATGAAACCCAATACCCAGGTGCAGTGGCGTGCCGTTCGAGTTCTTCGGTGGTGTAACTGTGCAGGGGCCTATGAGCCAGACGAGCCTAAGCGCCGGGATACACAGATTTGGGAAATTGGATGGGGTGGCATTTTATTCATTTAATTCCTTGCCCCCGGACCCATAAACGAAAACAAACTTTTAATTTTATTTTGCCAGGTAAGGCCCACTGAGCTATATAGCTCTTTGTCAAAGGCCACCCGGCCACAAATGATAGCTCAACGAAGTGGCTTGTGTGGAAATGTACAGAAGCCAAATACTCTCAATGCCAATTCCACCCGCACCATGTCACTGATTTTGTTTAAGGCGCTCGGATGGTCAAGAATGAGCACCGCTCTCCCGTGTGACCGCAGTGCCTGAGGTGGTGCGCTCGGGGGACTCGTTCGTGGAGGAGTCCCTGAAGGAGGCGATCCGGAGCGTGAACAGTGCCATCAACTCTACCCAGCGCGAGCTCTTTGACAAGTGAGATTGCTCCCTGCCCGGTCTACACCAGGCGGTTTCAGTCACTGTGCATTTAGAGGCACGCAGTTACATGAGGACCTCTCTACGGGGGTTGCCACCTTTTCCACTGTAGACCACTCCCAGACACCCAGACATGTTTATCAGCCAGCCGAGGTCTACAGTATTATCAAAACTGCGCAGTGTAAGTGTTCTAAAGTTTACACAATACCGTTATCAAATCAATTCCCACCACCCAAACACAGACACCAATTCCCATACCATCCTGGGCAAACCAGGGCATGTGGCAACCCAGTCGCCAGGGGCCATGGAGATTATTTGGCGAAGGTGCGGTATGTGGGAGCATAGAATTACAGTGCAATAATGGATTTTGATTTACTGTCCCCACGTAGACCCGCAGCCGTTAAAAAGTTGTATTCGTGGTGGTCACCTATTAAATGACCCTCCAGGCTGTAACCTTGCTTACTTTTCAATATCTGATGAGATCCTGCAAAAGTTCTGGGCAATGTTTGCAAAGGCCAGTGAAAAAAACGGGAGTAATCTTGTCAGTTTACTCATGAATGAAGGCTTCTCAATGCAATGCGGGGTGTTGAGGGTAATTTGACCATACGTCACCATTGCTGGTCAGTGTGTGAGGTGATGAAGGAGAGGACTGATTCCAGATATCACTGACGACAGCCGTGGCTGGGAATTGAACTCAGGTCGCCGAGTTCACCGCGCAGTGTTGGGGTGAGCAGTGACGTAGCTAGTGGTTCGTGCATTCCGCAATTCAACGTATTTATATGCATCAAGTTTTATTTGTTAAGCCTGTCCACAAACTAGGACAAGCGCTGGTGGCTTTAATAATGCGTAAACAGAAATATTTAAGAAGAGATTTGTCACTTTTGTTTTTAACGACGTGTTATATTTATTAATGAAACCCATAAGAAAGTCTGCAATCGATTATGTTACAAAAAAATTATAACAACATTAAGTGTTGCGTATGAGAAGAACAAATTTTAATGAGATCGGTAACTTTGCCTAGCTGCCCAGTACTTACCCAGAGTTCACCTGACTTGCCCTGCGAAATGCCGCGTGTGCTCGTGCAGCACGGCGTGTTCTGTATTTCACGCTGGCCGGAGCCCCGTCGCAATTCAACGGCAAATAAATTACTATTGGGCTCCCGCGGATATCTCCTTACCCTCCCCCCACCCCAACCACCGCGGGGCTGCCCCCCTCTCTCGAGCGCGCACTTCCCCAATGGCACACACAGTGATCCACCCCCGCCGTATGACTTCACGCGATGGGACTCGTGCCGCCCGCCAGGCTTATCGTTTCTAGATTTGAAGCTTTCGTGACTGCAAGGATCCATACGCTTTGGTTCTATTCGGTAAAGTCACGTAGGTAAAAAATAAAACAACAAAAATCACTGTCACGTACGTGACTTTACCGAATGGAACCAAAGAGTACAGGCTTATCGTATACGGTAGAGCGGGATACAAAGTAGTAGTGCTGGGGCTGATGAGCTGAATTCGTTAAATTATCGGGTAAAAAAAAAATACATGTTCTAATAGTTTCAACTTTGTCTGCGTGATCTACGTATCTTACGTTTTCAATTGGCGCCTCATTCGTTGAAATTGGTGGAGGGCTCTAGAATGAGTTCTTCAGACAAGTGACCAATGAATTTGCGTCATGCAATTAATTATTCGTTTAAGAAAACTAAATGAGCATCTAAAAAAGTTGAAACTCACTCTCTCAATGAATAAATAGACAGCATGCCCTCTGCACACGTCTGTTCCGCCACGTGAAAAAATACACATCCCATCAGCTGCAGGGTCTTCTCGGAGCGCATAATTTCATTCGCATTGGTATTAAAACTCGCAAACTCTGAACTGCTCTCGGCATTCATTGTTTCATCAGCGGAGTCAGGCTTGCTTAATCCCTGGTGAAATGCCACATTGCTAAAGGTAAGCACCCTCTCTGTTAGATATGGGTCCTAGTTTGATACAAACCTAAATATGAATCGTAACAATCATTGAGTTATTTCACTGAAGCACAGAATCTGCAGCTATTTCAAGCAAAGTAACCTGCATAGCTTTTTGTTTTGGTTGTGTTCTCTGTTGCTGTCCGGATGGGAGTCTCTGACAGTAAGAATCGTGATGCAAATTATGTACCCAAGAAGGCCTTCATGAGTCCCAAGGCTACTTTTCAGGAGATTCCTGCATTGGGATGTTTGTCAACTTGCATACGTGTCTTTACGGGGATAGGAAACTGGAGTACACTCCAATCTCATTGAAACATAATGGCCCCATGCCTACAACACCTGGCAAGCCCCGGCGGTCACCCATTCGAGTGCCAACCCCGCTCAACCCTGCTCAGTGTTCCATGAGATTGGGCGCATTTAGCTTGACTTTCTCGCAGACGATAGATTGGCTTTTCACAATCGACTGACAGATCGGTCACTCCCAAGTAACTTTACGCACCAAATGTAACCCCCAAGGATCACGGCATTGCTTTAGAATCAACGGACTGCTGCCTTTAGCAGCCAAATCGCAAGCGACGAATCGCGGCTCCGCGTCTTGAACTCGGCGGCGCAGCGATCGTCAGTCAGGAGGTCGTCAATCAGGAGGTCGAATTTCGGCGACAACTAGGGGATAGTCGTGGTGGAGGGGGGGTGGGAGAGTTCCAACGGCGACGTCGAGACTTCGCAGTCGAACAGTCGGTGTGAAGCAGCACGTGGAAAACTCGACAAGAAACCCTGCTGTGAACTTCGAAAACGTTATTACTTGAAGAAGGAAAAAAAAGAAAACGCGCTCGCAACACCCCCCCCCCCTACCCCGCCCCCCCCCCCGCTGCGGCCGAGCTGTTTCTGAAAATGCCAAGAGTTCTCGAAACACGAGGGGGGCAAAAAAAAATAATACTTTGACGAAACACGGCACGCTGCTGTGGTGACTCACAATGAAGTCACCATGTCAGCGCTCGCAACACGTGGAGCGGACAGGGAGAAATGGCTCGGGGAAGGGGGGGAGAAAACATTACATCAGGGAGAATGTATTTTCTGGCAGAAAAATGTAAGGAGGAGGAGGGTGAGGAGGAGGAGGTGGTGGGGGGGGGGGGGTGCTCTGGCGATGGTGTTGTGTTTCGTTTGGGAACACGGCGTTGCAGCGATTCTTCATGCAGTCGGCGGGAATTTAACCGTGACCCCATTGTCGGCTCCGCGTGTTTGCCTTGGCCTAATTAGGGATGTTATTCCCCAAAAAAATATGTCTCTTACGGCATATGGTTAACGGTTGGGCGCGAATGGAAACCCTGGCTAGTCCTACCGATGCACTTCACTTTTTTTGCTGCTTTTAGTTTTTGCGTGTTTTTTGAGGCATTTGTGAAATTGAAAGGGATGCGGTGAATACCTGGCAAACGTGCGTCCTCTGCACATCACAGGCAGGGTATGTGATGTACATGCAATGTCTGCAAAGCGCAACGGAACACAAACGTGTTTAATCTTGCAAAACGAGATCCATTCGTTTATTTGGCCATGTCTGTCCAGGCACGAAGTTGGTAATTTGGAAATTTTCTTGCATTGAAATGTCTGCAATTAGACAATCAATTCGACCGCATGTTATTATTTTTGTTGGTATAGCGTAGGGACTTTTCATCCCAGTGTTCGGGAACAGCGATGATTGAACTAGTTTTTGTTGCAGTGTTTCAGTGTAGCCTCTTTTTAAAGAACGGAGAGAATATTTTTTTTTCAGCAGGGATCCCTGCCAATGTGGCCACAGACTTCCGTGTAGGGGCTCAAAGACCGGATAAAAGGGGTCCACAGCGGTCTGCAAGGTGTCAAATTGTTGTGATTTGGGGGGCAAGGGTCACAACGTAATCCCAGAAGCCATTAATGAATATTTGTTTACCTCGGTATATTACTTTTTCATCTGTAGTCTCTCGTTTGTTTTGAGTCAATATTCACAATTTTTTTGTTCACTCCAGTAGCCTAAATGTGACGTTCGCTCGCGTGATTTGTAACGACGAATTCACGCTCGCCCTCGTTTTGTTGTTGCGTTGCCACCCGAGCTGGCTTTTCCCTGGTAGTCCTCTTATTGAGGTATCTGCTGTCCTGGGGAAGCTGTCAGTCTACCTCGGGACGTAACAGTCAATCCTTGTGCACGTACCCTTTGGTTCTTTCGTTAAAGTCACGTAGGTAGAAATGAAATAAAACGAATCGCGACGTTTCGATCGCAACACAAGCAATCATCATCAGGTGGAACAACCACAGCAAGAAAAAAATGCTGAAGTAGGCGAGAGAGCTGCCGTGGCAAGAGGTTATATAGGTGAGAAAAGGGGGAGGAGCAAGAGGGGAGAGAGAGGGGGGGGGGGCTGCGTGAGCGCTAGGGGAAGAGGACGTGAGGCTGGGGGAGGGAGGAAGTGGGCGGGGCTAGAAGTGGGAAGCTGAGTGTGGGACACGGGGGAATAAATAAAAATACCGAGTACATTTTTATTTTTTCCCCACCCCGTGTCCCACACTCAGCTTCCCACTTCTAGCCCCGTCCACTTCCCCTAGCGCTCACGCAGCCCCCCCCCCTTCCCCTACCCCCCCCCTCTCTCTCTCCCCCCTTGCTCCTCCCCCTTTTCTCACCTATATAACCTCTTGCCACGGCAGCTCTCTCGCCTACTTCAGCAATTTTTTCTTGCTGTGGTTGTCACACCTCATGATGAAGATTGCTTGTGTTGCGATCGAAACGTCGCGATTCGTTTTATTTTATTTCATACCCACGTGACTTTACCGAAAGAACCAAAGAGTATGGATTCCTGCAGTCACGAAAGCTTCGAATCAAGATTGTACACGTAGTTATTTCCTCGACTGCCACAACGAGACATTCTTCTTCCCACCACACGTCCCGGCTTGTTGGTGCCTCAGCGACCCTAAGGATCTCGCCGACGGCCGTCACGAACGCGATCGCGGTGCGCTGCATCTCGGAGGCGGCAGCCCCAATCGCGGGCGTGCTGACGATCGACTCGTCTCGTCGCCCGGTCGTCCTGGCGGCCCGCGCTGTGGCCGCCAGGACGACCGGGCGAGTGTCCCTCCACGCCGCCTATCCCTCCGTCTCTCACACCCCCTCCCCCCCCTCCCCTTTCGCCTCATCCTCCGCGACCCCCCCGGGACAGGCGTCCGCGCACGGCGGCAGACCTGCTGGCGCTGTTCCGCTACCCGCGCGACCCCGACACGCTGGAGCAGGTGCGCGCCGCCGAGATCTTCGAGCGCACGCTGCAGCTCGTGCACGAGCACGTGCGCGCCGGCCTCACCGTCGATCTCAACGGCACGGGTAGGCCGGCGCCGTGGCGGTGGGCTGGGTTCCGACGGGGATTCACGCGGACGCTTCGTTTTTTAAACCGTCGGAGGAACCGGTGTGTCGCGCGCGCTAAGTTCTTGGCTGTGTGAACGGCGTTGAAACTGTTAATGACGGCTGGGCTCCTCTTGCCTGCGTCGATGTGGGTCTGGTGAAATCGGCGAACGTCACCGCCGGTGATACGTGGGTCAGAGATGCACACTGAGAATTACACTGAGAAGCGGAAATAGGAACACGTGTTTTAGAGAGCATACGCAATTTACAGACTATTGACTCTTAAGGGAAGGTTGCTTGGGCAAGACATGTCGCTAGAAGAGACGATGGTCATTAGTCTAGAATAATATCCAAATGTCAGCCAAGGGAAAGAGATGGAGCGACATAATCTGCTCGTAGGCATGTACTTGGTGGTTTTTTACACGACGCCGAGATGGATTGGGGAGGCCTTCATCCAGCTGACTATGGCAATGCTGATCATTCGCATAAATGTACAGCTCTTAGTCGATCCACTGCTGGATGAAGGCCTCCCCGATTGTGAGCATTGCAGAGGTTTGCAGTTCGAATTCGGATTTAATTAACCATAATTAACAATGCATTAACAATAAATAGGCATGCACCCTCTGCTTCACAGTGGACTTAGAGATCCCATTATGTTATTCTAAAAAAGTAGATCAATGTCAGCCGGTGCCATGGTCCAAATTGGCCAAAATATGTAAAAATCACCTGCAAATTACTCAATTGCAATTATTAATCATCAGCCCCCGTCTCCCCAAGGACCGGCAGGCTAATGGCCACGTGCAGGCGCGTGCTGCGTTACCGTGCGCCGCACAGATCACCGCCGTCGCTCGGAGTGCCCTTCGACTGTTCTAGCGGGGCTGCTTAATCGACGCCGTACGAACGCGGAGACTATCATTCGCGACCCGCCCCCACCCCCCCTCCACGCGCAGGCTTCCGCTACAACGACCTGGTGTCCCCGCGCTACCTGGAGCTCATCGCCAACCTGTCGGGCTGCACGGCGCACCGCCGCGCGCCCAGCTGCTCGGACGCGTGCTTCCACCAGCGCTACCGCACCGTGGACGGCAGCTGCAACAACCTGCAGCACCCGATGTGGGGCGCGTCGCTCACGGCCTTCGCGCGCCTCGTGGAGCCGGCCTACGAGAACGGCTTCAACGAGCCGCGCGGGGGCGGCGCCTCGGGCCGCGGGCGGCCGCGCCGCGGCTTCCCGCTGCCGACGCCGCGCCGCGTCTCGGCCGAGCTGGTGGGCACCGAGAAGATCACGCCGGACGAGCGGCACACGCACATGCTCATGCAGTGGGGCCAGTTCCTGGACCACGACATGGACCTGACGGTGGTGTCGCCGAGCCAGGCGCGCTTCTCGGACGGCGAGCCGTGCGCCCGCGCCTGCACCGACGACCCGCCGTGCTTCCCCATCGAGCTGCTGCCGGACGACCCGCGCGGGGGTCGCCGCGGCGGCAGCGGGGGCGGCGCCGCGGCGGCGGCGGCGGCGGGGCGGTGCATGTTCTTCGTGCGCTCGAGCCCCGTGTGCGGCAGCGGCGCCACGTCGCTGCTCATGAGCTCGGTGCTGCCGCGCGAGCAGATCAACCAGCTGACGTCGTACATCGACGGCTCGAACGTGTACGGCAGCTCGGAGCGCGAGGCGGCCGACGTGCGCGACCGCTCGTCGCGCCGCGGTCTGCTGCGCCGCGGCATCGCGGTGGGCGCGGCCGGCAAGCACCTGCTGCCCTTCGCCACGGGCCCCCCGACCGAGTGCATGCGCGACGAGAGGGAGAGCCCCATCCCCTGCTTCCTCGCCGGGGACCAGCGCTCCAACGAGCAGCTGGGCCTCACCTCCATGCACACGCTGTGGATGCGCGAGCACAACCGCATCGCCGCCGAGCTGCTCAAGGTGTGACGCGCGTGTGGGGGGGAAGTGGGGGGGGGGCACGGCAGGTGTCGTCCCCACCCCCTCCTCCTCCTCCGACCTCCGCTACCCCCCAATCGTGGTGGTGGTGGTGTTGTGGGCAGATTCATCGCTGCCCTCAATGCTATGTTATTGTCCCGTCGATGTTGTTATTGACACCTTGGTTATAATTAACATTGCCATTGTCGTTCATTGCTGCCGTTATCAGTGTTCCTGTTGTCGTCATCGTTGATTGTCACGGGGTCAATTATCGTTATTGGCAGTATCATCATCATCACCGTCTTTGTCATTATCCCCCAGATATTAAATATTGGCTTGCAGCAGTTTTTGGCAGAGGGCCATCTATTTTTTGGCATCACCGCAGTATTACAAATACAGTCATTTGGATTTACGTGCTTTCGACATACGACAGCGTCTCGAGACGCCGTGCATCTCCAGACGCGGCGCAGCCCTCAGCCCACGCGTCTCATCTCACCCCCTCGTGCGGCGGGATCACGCTCTCGTTTCTTCCCCCCCGCCTCCCCCCGCCTCCACCCTCGTTCGACTCCGCCAGCTGAACCCGCACTGGGACAGCGACACCATCTACCACGAGTCGCGCAAGATCGTCGGCGCGCAGATGCAGCACATCACCTACGCGCACTGGCTGCCCAAGGTGTTGGGCGCCGACGCCATGCGCTCCGAACTAAGGCCCTATGCGGGCTATGACCCCTCCGTGAACTCGGCCATCTTCAACTCCTTCGCCACGGCCGCCTTCCGCTTCGGCCACACGCTCATCAATCCCGTGCTGCTGCGCCTCAACGAGTCCTTCCAGCCCATCCCCGAGGGCCACCTGCCGCTCCACCGCGCCTTCTTCTCGCCGTTCCGCCTCGTCAACGAGGGCGGCATCGACCCGCTGCTGCGCGGCCTCTTCGCCACGCCCGCCAAGAAGCGCGTGCCGTCTGAGCTGCTCAACCTGGAGCTGACGGAGAAGCTGTTCCACATGGCGCACAGCGTGGCGCTCGACCTCGCCTCGATGAACGTGCAGCGCGGCCGCGAGCACGGCCTGCCCTCCTACGCCGCCTACCGCGAGTTCTGCAACCTCACGGCGGCCGGCGACTTCGAGGGGCTGAGCGGAGAGATCCGCGACCCCGTGGTCAGGGAGAAGCTGCGCAAGTGAGAGATGCCGCCGTTACCGCCGCCGCCGCCGCCGCCGCTACCGTCGCCGCTGTTGTTTGCTTGTTCGTTGGTTTCTTTTCAGCACGAACGAGATGATGCACTAGCTGTGTCTGTCCGTTCGGTGGGGGGGGGGCAGTGGGGTGTTATGAGGGACGTAGCCTATTTGAAAACCAATCAAAACTGATCTAAAAGTTGGCCAAAACTTAACATGAACCAGAGCACGGTTTCCGTACTGCGAAATAAATACTTCCAAACGCATGTTGTAAAGTGTTACGTAATCCGCTGGATTTATGTTTGTTTTAAAAAATGTGCAGGTGGTGCAATTGCACGGTGGCCCATAGGCTCGACGAGTTGGGGAGCCGGGCGACAAGGAAGGGGGAAATTGAACAGCCTGGTGCCATTTCATTCCTTGCACCGGGGACTGTACAAACCACGCTACTCCACTGAAACCACCATCCAGGGTTTCCACCCGTCCTGGCTTTCTCAGGATCTTCCTCTGTTCGGGGTCGCTGACATTTTTCCTGGGAAATCCACAAAGTCCCGCCGCGACTTTAAACGTCCCCGTTTTCCTCAGTCGCGTGATCGTGCACCGCTCACGACAGCGCACCGAACGAAATTCTCGCAACCCTGCCCGGCATCTGCGAGACATTCTCCCTCCCGTGATACGTCGCGTTTTTCTGTGTCTGCTTGTCCGTTGGCGCGTTGGAGGCGGCAAACCGCACCGCCGTCCCCACTTCCCCCGCCGCAGCCTTCGTCGCCCTCGCGCGGCGATCGGGGCCGACGGCGGTCCGCGTCGGGGCGGGCGCGCCACCGCAATTTTGTCTCTCCCCGCGCAGGCTCTACGGGACCCCCGAGAACATTGACCTGTGGCCGGCCCTGATCGTGGAGGACGTGATTCCGGGCTCGCTGGTGGGGCCCACCCTCCTGTGCCTCTTCACGGAGCAGTTTCGCCGCCTCAGAGATGGAGACAGGTAAAGAGCGGACGGTGCGGTGGTTGGCGGTGGTGGGGAATGACGTACATGGATGGGTGCGTAGCGCCAGACATCGCTCGCTTTGGCCGACGGTGATGAGCACGGTTGGCTACGTACGGTGCGGAAGAAGTTCAACATGCGTGCAGGCGATTCGCTGATGATGATGATGGGTTTGGGCACACTTGAGTGAACCCGGGTTTTCAAGTTCAATGAATGGATGGTCTCAGCGCAAAGTTATCTATGACTGTGAATAAACCATCGCATTCAAATAGTTCTGACTTAATTTGGCTAAATCGCAACGATGAGAAATAAGAAGATCGCTTTCACTGTCATGGGACAAACAGTATTCCCAGTGGCAGAGCAGTTGGGTGTGTTCAACAGGGATTACTTGACAGGATCTCAGAGCTAATTCTATGATATCCACTGCCGTGGGCCATTGTCACCTCCGATAAACACGTTTGGCTACGTGCGGTGTGAAAGAAGTTCAACATACGTTGCCTAGCGCAAAACGTTGTATTGCTTTGAGAGATCCGCATTGATTCTTTTCCTCATGATGTGACCCCGAGAATACATGCAGGATAAATGCGTGGAAAAACTATTTCTTTTTTTAAATAAAAAGCTCGTGTTACTAAACTGAGTTGAATTAAACCAGAATGCTAAGACAAAGCACTCTGGTTACATTTAGAATGTTTCCATTTCAATTTCGGCCATGGGATGTCTGAATTCATCCTTCCTTCTGGAGTCCATAAAATGTATACCACATTGGTTGCTGTGTCGAGAGACGAGCTTCTGCTATAGGAATGTGGATACCCTACCTCTGAATTAGAACTGCTAACAGAGGCGAGCATCACAAGACGTTTTATTGGGCACTGAGACACCTATGTGATGCTGGAAACTGCTGAAACACGTGTTGTGAACCGGTAATCTTGAACTCTCAAAAGTAAACCACAACCACATGCACGTATTTTGGAAAACAACAACTTTTGGCCGCAGCTTCTATCGTTAAGGGGCCAGAGCATAATAGCGGTACCGATATCTCTAAATGTATTCTGGCATTATTCCCACTCACGCAGGGCTTTCCTTCCTTATCCTCTTCACTCATTCCTATCCTCGACGGCGCCGCTTCGCCAACACAGCCCTTCATCTTCTGGTCCGACACTCGGAAAGCACCCTTACACCAGCGATCCTCCTCTTCGTGCGTGCGTGCGTCCGTCAGGTTCTGGTACGAGAACCCGGGAGTGTTCTCCCCAGCGCAGCTCACGCAGATCCACCAGAGCTCGCTGTCGCGCGTGCTCTGCGACAACGGCGACGCCATCACGCTGGTGCCGCCCGACGCCTTCGCCGTGTCCGCGTACCCGCAGGGATACGTGGCATGCGGCACCCTGCCCCACGTCGACCTGCGCATGTGGCAGGACTGCTGCCAAGGTAGGCGTCGCTGAGAGAGAGAGAATTGTCCCCACGTCGTCACGGAGAGAGAGGATTGTCCCCGCATTGTCACATCATGGAGAGAGAGAAAGAGAGAGGATTGTCCCTGCGTCGTTGCGGAGAGAGAGAGAGAGAGGATTGTCCCCACATTGTCACATCATGGAGAGAGAGAGAGAGGATTGTCCCCACATTGTCACATCACGGAGAGAGAGAGAGAGGATTGTCCCCGCATTGTCACGTAGCGGAGAGTGAGAGAGAGGATTGTCCCCGCGTCGTTGCGGAGAGAGTGAGAGAGAGGATTGTCCCCACATTGTCACATCACGGAGAGAGAGAGAGGATTGTCCCCGCATTGTCACGTAGCGGAGAGTGAGAGGGAGGATTGTCCCCGCGTCGTTGTGGAGAGAGAGAGAGGATTGTCCCCACATTGTCACATCACGGAGAGAGAGAGGATTGTCCCCGCATTGTCACGTAGCGGAGAGAGAGAGAGAGGATTGTCCCCGCATCGTCACGGAGAGAGAGAGAGGATTGTCCCCACGTCGTCGCGGAGAGAGAGAGAGGATTTTCCCCGCATTGTCACGTAGCGGAGAGAGAGAGAGGGGATTGTCCCTGCATCGTCATGAAGAGAGAGAGAGAGGATTGTCCCCACATTGTCACATCACGGAGAGAGAGAGAGGATTGTCCCCACGTCGTCGTGTCACGGAGAGAGAGAGAGAGGGGATTGTCCCCACATTGTCACATCACGGAGAGAGAGAGAGAGGATTGTCCCCGCATTGTCACATCACAGAAAGAGAGAGAGGATTGTCCCCGCATTGTCACGTAGCGGAGAGAGAGAGAGAGGATTGTCCCCACGTCGTCGTGTCACGGAGAGAGAGAGAGAGAGAGGATTGTCCCCACGTCGTCATGTCACGGAGAGAGAGAGGATTGTCCCCACATTGTCACGGAGAGAGAGAGAGAGAGGATTGTCCTCGTGTCGTCATGAAGAGAGAGAGAGAGAGGATTGTCCCCACATTGTCACATCACAGAGAGAGAGAGAGGGAGGATTGTCCTCGTGTCGTCACAGAGAGAGAGAGGATTGTCCCCACATTGTCACAGAGAGAGAGAGAGGATTGTCCCCACCATTGTCACGTAGCGGAGAGAGAGAGAGGGGATTGTCCCCACATCGTCACAGAGAGAGAGAGAGGATTGTCGCCGCATCGTCGCGTCGCTTCGTGTTGCTGGGCGAGCGGAAATTCGGGCGGTGCGAAGTGAGCCGACACCTGCTTTGTATGTGTGTGTGTATGTGTGAGACTGGAGCGTGCCACTAAGAGGTGGGGCCTTACCATCAGCCCCACCAAAACTAAGCACCTGCCTGGGTATTTTGTACCATCGGACACTCCACCCCCACAACTCCCAATCGGTGATGGGGCAGTTGTGGAGAGAGTGGAGAGTTTCCCATACCTGGGCAGTGTGCTTATGACTGGCTCCAGTTTAACAGCAGAGGTCTCACTCCGAATCAGTCGAGCGGCAATATCTTTTCATCGGTTGCGTAACGCTGTGTGGAAGCTACCTGGTCTGTCGCTCCGCACTAAGCTTCAGGTCTTCTCGGCCACGGTCATTCCCTCCCTTCTCTACGCTTGCGAAACGTGGACCCCCCCTAATGGAACATCTTCGCCGGTTAGAAACATTTAGGCTGGCCTGCCTACGATCCATCCTGGGTTTAACCAGACTGGATTGTGTGAGGAGCTCACAAATCCTTGAAAGATCTGGGCAGGGTCCCATCGGTGAGCTCCTCCGGCAGGCAAGGCTGCGATGGCTGGGTCATGTAGCCCGCATGCCCAGCCACCGCATGCCGAAACAGCTTTTGTTTGGCCGGATTGAGGGGGCTAAGCGGGCGCGGCACGGGCTAGAGAAGAGATGGAGTGATGTGGTACAGGAGGACGTGGAGCTGAGTGGACTTGCCGATGACTGGTACCAGCGGTGTCAAGATCGGCCTCTGTGGAGGAGGCTCGTGAAGGATGCTACTGGGCAGTTGGAGGCAGTCGCCCTCCAACAACAACGGAGGGCGGAGGAGCGACGCTCACAACAGCGAGCGGAGCGCCGGGTGGCTAAAGCACCGCAGGTTGGCACAGTAGGGGGCACAGGTGGTGCATCAGCCAGTCATCTCAGTCAGTCGACCCGTGGCACCTGGGTCTGCCCCGTGACCTCCTGCCAGCGGGCGTTCGACACTTCACGTGGCCTCAGGGTGCACATAGCCTGGCACAAGCGTCGTGGTGACGTCACCGCCACTTAGTGGCGAATGGCGGTTGTTGTTGTTGTTGTATGTGTGTATGTGTGTGTATGTGTGTTGTGGGGAGCGATAGTGTAGCGGTTAGCGCGCTGCGCTATGAACCTGGCGACCCGGGTTCGATTCCCGCTCACAGCCAACACCAGTGACGATTATCTGAACCGGTCCCGGGCCTCCCCTAGGTCGACTCAGCCTCAAATGAGTACCTGGTGTGGTGTGTAAACATTGCCACTAGGGAGACAAAGGCGGTCGGGCGTGGTGCTGGCCACCCACCCCCTCGTGTACCGTTCTGGCCTTCATAGGTGCTCGCTAACAGCACTTGCCCCTACAGTCTGTTAAGGCTATATGGGGGATCTTTGTCTTTGTATGTATGTGTGTATGTATATGTGTGTGTTGAACTTTTTTTGCACCGTACGTAGCCAACCGTGCCAATCTTAGTTGCGTAGCCAGTCATGTTTGGAACAAATGCGGGTTTTCTCAGGGTGCTCCGGTTTTCTCCCACATGAACGAAGTTGTAGAAACATCCCAAATTAAGTTGTTGGCTGCCTTCCCACCCGTCTGTGGTTTCCCTTAGGAAACCGTGCGCATTACAAATGTAAAAAAACAACTTTGAAATGGACGTATGATTTTAAACCTTTACGACATATGACGAAACCTTAATGCGCCAGTTGTCTGTAGCTGGAAGGAACAATAATGCTCGTAATCGTGATCTAAATTGAACCAAGCATCCATGTAAAGTTGTGTTTCCATTATGAACTTGCTCTACATGGACGTTACTGCTTCCTTCACGCTCGGTGCTAGTGCTCGCATTATTACTAACTCGAGTTAAATCCTTCCGAGGACAAACGCACGGCGGAAAGCGATACACAGTCAACGCGTATGCATGATTTTTCTTCCTTCTGTTCAGAGTGCTTCGTTGTCTTCTTGGGGGAGGGCATGGCTGCTAGACTCATGGGGAGGAGAGGGTCCGGTTGGGGTTAGGTTTAGCGATATGCAGAGGGCCGATGGCGAAGAGCGGCCTTCATGAAGAGTTGTCTCTTCCATGGTGTCCCCACGGTCTGAAACTCCCCCCAGCCTTTTGTGCTGTTGCCTCGCTGTCCCTGTTCCAGTCCAGGCTCCAGGCCCTTTCCCCCCCCCCCCCCTCCTCTGACTGCCTCATTCTCGCTATAAAATAAATATCACCACTACTTCTGCACAGCGCCTCGAGATGCAGCCGCATTTGGATGCTCTGTGAGCCTGCATCGTTACCCCGTGGTTACGCCTGTGCCGCGTGCCATTTCCCAGGGCATTGGCTCCGTCTGTAGGCGGCTCACGAGCGTGGAGGAGTTGGAGCCAACCGCGAGAGCTCACGGCGGCCCCTTTGGCACGAGGCATTGAAGTGGTCTCCCCTTGCCTACCAGCTCAGCAGGTCGCAGCAAAGGCCGTGCTGTTGAATTCGATGCAGTCTTGGTGGGGGTTCTCACCTGGTCAAATCGAGATTTACCCGGCTACGCACCGCGTCTTATCTTCCTCACATTTATGGAGCGCCCTATTCCAAGTGCGCCTTCGCAACGATCCTAAAAGTGGCACGTAGGATGACAACGGTTGAAATAAAGATCGCGGTTGTTCTTGTTAAAACTGGTGGTGTAGTCATGGTGACAGAGCAGGTGGTAGTGGTCAAGGAGGGGTTGGGGTAGTGATAGAGGTAGGGGTAGTGATAGGGGTAGGGGTAGTGATAGGGGTAGTGATAGGGGTAGTGATAGGGGTTGGGGTAGTGATAGGGGTAGTGATAGGGGTAGTGATAGGGGTTGGGGTAGTGATAGGGGTTGGGGTAGTGATAGGGGTTGGGGTAGTGATAGGGGTAGTGATAGGGGTAGTGATAGGGGTAGGGGTAGTGATAGGGGTAGTGATAGGGGTAGTGATAGGGGTAGGGGTAGTGATAGGGGTAGGGGTAGTGATAGGGGTAGTGATAGGGGTAGTGATAGGGGTTGGGGTAGTGATAGGGGTAGTGATAGGGGTTGGGGTAGTGATAGGGGTAGTGATAGGGGTAGTGATAGGGGTAGGGGTAGTGATAGGGGTAGGGGTAGTGATAGGAGTAGTGATATGGGTAGGGGTAGTGATAGGGGTAGGGGTAGTGATAGGGGTAGTGATAGGGGTAGTGATAGGGGTAGTGATAGGGGTAGTGATAGGGGTTGGGGTAGTGATAGGGGTTGGGGTAGTGATAGGGGTAGTGATAGGGGTTGGGGTAGTGATAGGGGTAGGGGTAGTGATAGGGGTAGGGGTAGTGATAGGGGTTGGGGTAGTGATAGGAGTAGTGATAGGGGTAGGGGTAGTGATAGGGGTAGTGATAGGGGTAGTGATAGGGGTAGTGATAAGGGTAGGGGTAGTGATAGGGGTAGTGATAGGGGTTGGGGCAGTGATAGGGGTAGTGATAGGGGTAGGGGTAGTGATAGGGGTAGTGATAGGGGTAGTGATAGGGGTAGGGGTAGTGATAGGGGTAGTGATAGGGGTAGTGATAAGGGTAGGGGTAGGCTTGGTCGAAGCTGGTGCATGGGGGTAGGCAGCAGTAGCAAGATGGGCTATGGGAGAAGAGATGAGGGTTGTTTTAAGGGAGGATCTGAAGCAAGGTTAGTGAAGGTGATTATTTAACGTGAAGTTGGAGCATAAACAGACACATTTAAACATCTCTTCACATGAAGATAGAATGTGACATATTAAATAGGTTCTCGTCCATAACCCGATTGACTTTCTGGACCAATGCGTTCCAGCAGTATCATTCCAGGTAAGCCCTGGACCGGGTTTAACCTTCTGGGTCTCATCACCAGAGGCACATCTGCTCAACACACAGTTACGGGCTGCCAGATGTCATTGGCGAGAGCACTCGACGAAAACATTTGGGCATGTTAAGTGCAAATCAATTTAGTTTCATACTCAGCGTGCACTTGTCATAGAGCATTACTGGGGTCGATGTTTAAAGCTATTGCTTGAACATGATCTTAGGTAATTATATATGGCTATTCTCAACTTTACTGCATATGCCAGGAAGCTAAATAAATGCATATTTGTCTTGAAACGTCATTGTTTTTCCTTAGCATTTCCACGGTGGTCTCGGTGGACTCACACCTGGCTATTAATGCTGGTTGCGTGCCCGGCCAAAGGCAGAGATCACCTCTGCGTAGGCTTTCGCGACGCTGCTCTGCGACTCTCCGTTGGCTGTTTGAATTGTGCCGCGCGATGCCCGACGTTTCGCTCCGCGGCCTTCGGTTCCTGAAAAAGCTCCCCGCACACGTGGAGCGAAACGTCGGACATCGCGCCGAACAACACGATGCGTGAACCCCGGAGACACGCGTCGGAGAGCTCGGGCAAAAGGTCTCCCCGTTCAGCCTCGGTGGACTGTTGTGGCCAGTGCTGGTCACTTCATTAGCTCAGCCTCTTGGAATTTCCACCGCCAGGCTCGGGGACCACCAATAGCGATGAGCGACGCCCAACGCTCATTTTCTGAGCACGGGGAAAGTTATTCATCTTTTGATTGAACAAAAAAAGCACAAAGCTCTTTTGTCGATCGCAATTTGCGACCCTACTGCACATTCCGATTCGAGGAGACGCTTGTATAACGCAAAGGTCAGCGGATTTTTCCAACCGCAGCCCGCCCCCCCCACTTTTTTTGTTTCTCCCCAAGGCGCACATTTGCGTGATTCGCATTAAGTGCCCCATCGGCAACAGCAGCATCAACAAAAACCCACGAGAGGTAAATAAGCGGCGCTTGAACGTTGCGAAGAAAGTGCGTCATCGGTGGGCACTTTACGGTCTCGGGGTGGAAAACAATCGGGGGTGGATGGGTGGGGCCTTTTTTTAGGTTTGGCTCCGAAAAGCACCGTTGCTTCCATCCCCTGGAGGAACGGAGACCCGGCAAAGTTTGCGCCCGTGAGCTGATAAGTGCCGGCTGTGGCTGCCGTTTAAGATTTGCGGTCGAGCGTGGCGTGCAAAAAAAAAGAGTTGAGTTTCTTTCCTTGAAACGAAACGCAGAAACGCGCACGTCAGTTCGAATACTGTAATTTCTTTGTTTAAAGAACGATTACACTGTAAATGCAAACACACTGGCGTGGAGTGCACGTGTTTGCGCTCGTGCGTTAACGGAGACTACAATCTCGTGGTCAGCGTTATAGACTGTTGTGGCCAAGCGCTGTTAGCGAGCAGCCATTAAAGCTGATGACCAAGCCGTGTCGATGCGCGTGAGAATGAAACCTCACCGAAGTGAAACGGAACTCCAGACAAAGTGATGTGGTGTTCCTGGAATCCCGAGACAGATTCAAATCTGGCGGACTGTTAGGTAATCTCCACAGTGCAAACGGCTCAAATTATGACAGCCTCTTGAAAGCCATTTGGGCGCACATACCACCAGTGCGTTATCTGAATTCCTGGCTTGAGTGCGTTGCAGATGAACAGTGCTCACTCAACCTTCAATTATAAGCTTGCCCATGGTAGGCAGGTTTTATGGTGCAGGGCGTTCTAGAATTTTTGCCGAACACGTTTGGTTCTCTGCTTGAGGTCACTCGCAGTAGATGGTTGGGGCGAGTACAGCACACGAGTGGGTGGGTGGCTAGCACCATACCTAGCCGCCTTTGTCTCCTGAGTGGCAATATTTACACACTCCACCAGGTACTCATTTGAGGCTGAGTCCACCCAAGGGAGCCCAGGACTGGTTCAGATATCTATCACTGGTGTTGGATGTGAGCGAAAATCGAACTCGGTTCGCTGGGTTTCTAGCCCGGCACGTTAACCGCTGGACTACCGCTCATAAAACCACACACACACCTATGATTTTATTATTTACATTGTTGCATTTTATTTTACAGTTTTGAAAAGCCAGGCGTGGACGTGCGTTTAGAGTTGAGCGTTGGATTCACATGAACCCGCATGAAGTGCATCTCATGGATGACATCATGAATGGCTGAATGCATGTTTGATCGTTTGTGTTTTTACTCTGTATTGTTTTCCAGGCACAAGCGTAATAATCATACATAATTTACAGCCCTTTGTCAATCCACTGTTGGCTGAAGGGCTTTCAACGCCACGTCCGTTGCAAGGGGTTATTTGACCATACTTCACCACACTGGGCATTGGGAGTTTGTGAATGGAGTAGGGCCCAGGACCGGTTCAGACATAATTAGCCAATGATGTTAGCCATGCTCTGCTATTATGATAACGGTGGGAAGTTATTCTTTGCTCATATCCGTTTGACCACTTATGTGTGTGTAACCCGTGCTGCGATGCTGCGCAAAATCAGTTGATTAGTTTTATTGTAATTTACTATAAACCCCAGACGTTTAAACGCAATCGAAACGGGGGGAACATCAGGTATTTAGTCGCTTTCTTTTAACAGCCCCTAAAATCAGCAGATATGTATTGTATCATTCGTTTTTAAACTCGACACACGATCGACACATATATGGGCCCGAGCAATTTGCGTTTGTGACACGTAATATAACGACGCCATCGTAGCTCGTGCAGGTTCGTGGTACTGCTGACTTGTGATGTTGTCCAGCAGGGATCAATCAAAGGGGTTTTTTTTTTCATTGCTTTGTTTTCGTTCATTTTAAAAGCAGAGCATTTCTGGCAGTTTTCAGCCGCGGTGCTAATTGGCCGACGGGATTTAGAGGGAGGCACGCGGCAGCTGAGTTTTGTTGAAAAACATTTCGTTCCGTGCAACTTTTTTTTACTGTTGTTACATTTTCACACACAAACCCGTTTAAGCAGCTGCCATCCTCACAGCCGGGCCTGTTAACGGACGCGTGGTAAGTTTGGTCATCGATGGTGGTTGCTGGTCCATGGTGGTGCCTTACGCTCCTCCCTTTCAATTAATGCAATCCTTGTAAAATGATAACAGCGATATTGACAAGAGATAGAGATGGTGCGGTGTAAGATAAATTGAGACAAATACAGGGTCTCCTCTATTTACGAACATTCGACTTACGAGCTTTTAGAGATACGAACAAACCTGTCCGTATGTCCAGTTGCCTGTTCGGACCGAGAATCGTAAGTTCAACCGCCGCGCAATACATGGCGGTGGTGGCATCTACATCTGCAGAACATGAAGAACCAGTGGCATCTGCATCTATAGGAGATTGTACAACGTTTAAAGCCATTCCTCGTGTTTCGTGTACATGCTGTACAACACGTTTGGAATCGACAGGACTAAAGTTGGACTGACAAACAAATCGACTTACGAACAGACATCTGGAACCTAACTCGTTCGTAAGTGGAGCAGTCCCTGTAGAGGTATAGTGTGATGAGAGAGGTAGACAAGATATGAGAGAGATGCACCCCCTTTTTATATTATTTAGCATATGTTTATTATGATTAGAAATTAAGATGATGTTTAATCCACCATTGCCTTTTTTAATGGATCCGGGATCCCCTTGAGCTGCTTGGGGACCCTGCGAATCTCCATGGGTTTGTTCACTCCCCCCCCCCGCCCCTTGTTTTGTGTCTCACTTTGGGGCGAATTAGACTGCCGGGCACGCGGACAGTTCAACGCCATCTCCAACCACTTTCGGAGCAAACGCTCGCCGGAGTTCAGCTACCCGGGGGAGAGGCCAGGGGACCGGCACGAGAAGCGGGAAACGAGCGAAGGGTGAGAGTCGGCTACAACTGAGTTGTGTCAGCTTGGTGGCGGCGGGGGGGGGGGGCACACGTCATCACGGTCAATGTTAAACAAACTTTGCACAAAATATTATACGCTAAGTAGAATTAAGCCTCTTGTTTTTTTTTCTTTCTCAGTGATGGTCTGGTCATTTTCTTGTTTGAGTTGAGAAAACGCGTGCATGAGAGGAGAGGAGAGCACCAAAAGCTGTGACGTCCAGATATCTGCACGTAACCTACAGTGAGGGAAAAAGAGTATTTGATCCCCTGCTGATTTTGTACGTTTGCCTACTGACAAAGAAATGATCAGTCTATAATTTTAATGGTAGGTTTATTTGAACAGTGAGAGACAGGATAACAACAAAAATATCCAGAAAAACGCATGTCAAAAATGTTAAAAATTGATTTGCATTTTAATGAAGGAAATAAGTATTTGACCCCCTCTCAATCAGAAAGATTTCTGGTTCCCAGGTGTCTTTTATACAGGTAACGAGCTGAGATTAGGAGCACACTCTTAAAGGGAGTGCTCTTAATCTCAGCTTATTACCTATATAAAAGGCACCTGTCCACAGAAGCAATCAATCAATCAGATTCCAAACTCTCCACCATGGCCAAGACCAAAGAGCTCTCCAAGGATTTCAGGGACAAGATTGTAGACCTACACAAGGCTGGAATGGGCTACAAGACCATTGCCAAGCAGCTTGGTGAGAAGGTGACAACAGTTGGTGCGATTATTCGCAAATGGAAGAAACACAAAAGAACTGGCAATCTCCCTCGGCCTGAAGCTCCATGCAAGATCTCTCCTTGTGGAGTTGCAATGATCATGAGAACGGTGAGGAATCAGCCCAGAACTACACGGGAGGATCTTGTCAATGATCTCAAGGCAGCTGGGACCATAGTCACCAAGAAAACAATTGGTAACACACTACGCCGTGAAGGACTGAAATCCTGCAGCGCCCACAAGGTCCCCCTGCTCAAGAAAGCACATATACATGCCCGTCTGAAGTTTGCCAATGAACATCTGAATGATTCAGAGAACAACTGGGTGAAAGTGTCGTGGTCAGATGAGACCAAAATGGAGCTCTTTGGCATCAACTCAACTCGCCGTGTTTGGAGGAGGAGGAATGCTGCCTATGACCCCAAGGACACCATCCCCACCGTCAAACATGGAGGTGGAAACATTATGCTTTGGGGGTGTTTTTCTGCTAAGGGGACAGGACAATTTCACCACATCAAAGGGACGATGGACGGGGCCATGTACCGTCAAATCTTGGGTGAGAACCTCCTTCCCTCACCCAGGGCATTGAAAATGGGTCGTGGATGGGTATTCCAGCATGACAATGACCCAAAACACACGGCCAAGGCAACAAAGGAGTGGCTCAAGAAGAAGCACATTAAGGTACTGGAGTGGCCTAGCCAGTCTCCAGACCTTAATCCCATAGAAAATCTGTGGAGGGAGCTGAAGGTTCGAGTTGCCAAACGTCAGCCTCGAAACCTTAATGACTTGGAGAAGATCTGCAAAGAGGAGTGGGACAAAATCCCTCCTGAGATGTGTGCAAACCTGGTGACCAACTACAAGAAACGTCTGACCTCTGTGATTGCCAACAAGGGTTTTGTCACCAAGTACTAAGTCATCTTTTGCAGACAGGTGTCTTTTATACAGGTAACAAGCTGAAATTAGGAGCACTCCGTTTAAGAGTGTGCTCCTAATCTCAGCTCGTTACCTGTATAAAAGACACCTGGGAGCCAGAAATCTTTCTGATTGAAAGGGAGTCAAATACTTATTTCCCTCATTAAAATGCAAATCAATTTATAACATTTTTGACATGCGTTTTTCTGGATTTTGTTTGTTGTTATTCTGTCTTTCACTGTTCAAATAAACCTACCATTAAAATTATAGACTGATCATTTATTTATCAGTGGGCAAACGTACAAAATGAGCAGGGGATCAAATACTTTTTTCCCTCACTGTATGCGCCGGATGTTATGGCGAGAATCCCTGGGCGGGTGGCTGCTTCTGCCATTGCCACTGACCCCGGAGCATCCACAGACATCGTTTCATGATCTCAAAACCAGTACATGGTTTTCCCGTTTAATAAACAAAATACTATTGGGAAGAGTGAACCAGGCACACCGCCCAGAACAAAGTTTGCGTGTGCGACTGGGAAACATCAATTGGAAGTTCCCACGTTGCCATTGGGTGAAATGTGATAGGATTACAATGTCAATTTTCCATATAGAAATTATACAAATTGCCCTTGCCTACTGCTGTTTCTTTTTCTCCCCCTGGCGGTGTGGCATGCCGGTAATGGGCCCCTGTGCACCATGCGCACCACCCCGCTGTCTCCCAGCTCCGCCCAGCACAATGTAACGCAGCGCACACAGGAGCGGGAGGAGGATTCGAGTCTGCAGGAACTTCGGGGCGTCGTGTCGGCTCTGCAGCGCACGGTGGAGCAGCTGCGCTCGCAGGTGAGGGTCGTCGTCTGAGGCTTCGCTCCCTCCAGCCCCCGGCTCCACCACAATTACCGATGGCCCGGTGGAGGTGGAAAGCCCTTTCCTTACTGAAGGCCGAATCATGATCATCATTGTCATCATCAGTCATGGTCATTCCACAGCTGAGTGAAGGCCTCCCCAAGCAGCCACCGCCTCCTCTCATGATCCTGTGAGGTACTAATCCACCTGCACGTGAACTGATTTAAGACTCAAGAGCGAAAGCAGTCTGGCCTGCCCTCGCTCACCTCAAACAGCACTTGCACATGTGGCAGAACGTGCACGCCTCCACACATTCATGTTGTTCAGGTTGTGTGTAAAGGAGCTCCAGCCCAGGTGAGTCTTGAACCCCGTCTTTTTTACGTCTTCCGTACGCCGCGTCACACGTGAAGGAATCACTCCGTTCAGGCGCTCCAAACCCTCCTTCCATCCCTCCTTTTATTCTTTTCCCCATCCTTTTCGGGAACTTTCCATGACTCTCCACCAATCACCTAACGGTCTCCTGACCGACCCCTCATTTCCATTTAGTTTCCCTGTTGACCATCCAGATTTGAATGTCCTCCACTTTCAAATCCGATTGTGTGCCCTACGTCGGCTCCTCCTGTCATAGCTCCTCGCCAATGAGAGTCGAGCACGCCATTCTAACTCACAAGCCATTAGACTTGGTGAGTGTATATTTATTTCCAGATAGGGTTTGCCTCTCGCCATCCCTTACAAGTGGATAAACAATGATAATACAGCAATACAAACTGGCGTCATTTTGCATTGTGGTCATTTTCTATACCGGCGTGCTTTTTGTGCACCAGAGATTAATTTAGATTTGAAGTTTTCATGACTGCAGGGATCCCATACTCTTTGGTTCTTTCGGTAAAGTCACGTAGGTATAAAAAATAAAATGAATTGAATTGCGACGTTTCGGGCGCAACACAAGCGTCCGTCATCAGGTGGGACAACCACAGCAAGGAAACAATTTCTGAAGTGGGCTGCAGGGCTGCTGTAACAAGAGGCTATGTAGCCACGTGACTTTACCGAAAGAACCAAATAGTAGAGATTTATTTCTCGTGGAATATTTCCCAGGCACCCCCTCCCCCCCCCCCCCACAACGCCGCATACCCCTGGACCCTGACAGTGGGGGGGTTGAACGGAAATATCACCTGGAGCTCGGCCCCGTACAGCTCTGGCTGTAATTCAGCTCTGTTGCGCACCGCAGGTCAGTGGTTTGGAGCAGGCGCTGCACAAGGACGGCCGATGTAAGAACGCGGACGGGAAGGAGCGAGCACATCAGGAGACCTGGCACAGGGATGCCTGCAGCGAATGCCACTGTGAGGTACGGGGACTGGCCTTCAGCGTGACCTTTTTTAAAGGGGCGTGGGGGTATTGATACGATACGATTGTGTCTGTTGTGCCTTCCGCTTGCAGTCGCACCTCACCGAATATGCAGGAAGGCTGAAAGTCAACCGCCGCTGGTGTTATTTTTTGCACCAACATTTTATTGACTTGACGATAAAAATCCAGACGAGGGCTGAGCCTTCAACAGGCGGGCTCAGCCCCCTCTAACCCCACCGCCCTTGATGCCACAGGGCTGACGAGGACACACTCTGCACCTTCAGTATCGCCGGCCACTGGAACCGTTATTCCTCCAATGGGTTAACTCACGCCTACGACAAAATCACGTTGAATGCCTCTGATCCCGCATCTCCAATTAGCACAGTTGGCTACGTACGGTGCGAAAGAAGTTCAACATATATACATGATCTCTTCCGATCTCGGAAGCGAGCAGAGTGGATTGGGAATTATGCTTTGATGGGTGACCACCATTCACTACGATGGGCGTTTTGAGCGATACACTCCTGGCCTGGGTGGTAGACAGCAGAGGGCAGTGCAGCAGATTCCATTATTGTGCTGTACTTATAGGCTTCCATGTCTATGCTCCTTTGTCTTTAACCCGCACTGACCAGCATTTGGTTAAGTAACATTTTTTGCAAAAGGGGCTGTATATGTGTAGAGGAGTAATATGGGGACGTGACGTCATGCGCGCTGGGCGGGGCGATGACGTCATGTCTCCTCTAGGTACTTAAGGGAGACCCCGTGACGAAAGCGGGGTCGTAGCTGGAGACAAGTGACCGAGCAGGCTGGAATGGAGGGCCAGGAGCAAGGGGATGGAAGTCTGTAACAGCGCAGCGTAAGGGCTAGGTGTGGCTGCGCTCCTCAGTCGGCCGATATTGGCTGAACCCCCGGCCGGTGCAGAGGAGGCAGCCCGGGCAGCCTGCTGTGGAAGGGGACAGATAGGACCCCCTACCCTTGTCGGGAAGTGTTAGCCCCTGTGTTATTGGCAGAAGCCCTTAATAAACTACTGGTGCAAGCCCTTACCTTCACCTCCGTCTCCGAGTCGTCAAGAGCTTCTCAACATATGTACTGTACATGGCCGGGCTAGTTAATCCATAGCACAAACGTTGTTGACTTCTCGCACATTGGTACTAAATTTTGACCTCAGAGGGATGATGGGCTTAGCTGGCTGAGGCTGGGATTTGAACTTGTAGCTTTTTCAAATGTAAGCCACATGCTCTATCCATCATCCCCTGAGCTACCCAGCCAGATAATTATTCCACCCCTGGATAAAATCCCAGGACCTCACATGCATTGACTCGGCAACACTGACAAACTATATCTCCCCTGAGTGACCCAGTCATCTCATTTAGAAAATGTAAATCAATTGTTTAGATGGAATCTCGGCGATAACAGGACTGGATCGGGTCCGAATTGAAGGGATGAGGAAGAAGGCAAGAGTGGTGGTTAGTCATCCCAGGCAAGCTCAACGAAAGGCGAATTCCGATGGCGAGGGTTTTTTTGTCATAACAAGAGAGAAAATCCACACTCGTGTGGAACAGGAAACACTTGAAGGGACCTCACGGGTAGATCTATGACGTCCGCTTCCGTGGCCCGTTCTCTACAACGAAGCGTGGCACTGCACTGCGAGAGAGGTCTCGGGCGAACGCTTCCCTCTCTTGACTTGACACCGGCAGTGCAGTTGGGATAAAATTGAGGAGAGGAAAAAAAAGATTTTACATAAGTTTATTCATGCTCATGAATTTGACCGTAAGTTCCGAGGCGCACAGTGGGAAATGTGACTGTATAAGAGGCACAGAACAGAAGCACATAGAACAATAAAATCCAAACAGCCGACCCCATGTAATAATGGGATTTTAAAACGTCAGTTCCTGTCATCTGTATTAGATATAAGCTGTATCAATGTTGTCCTTTCCTGCTGGCCTCCATGTTTGTTGTCCTTCCCCTGCACCTCCGAATAGGACGGTTGGCTACGTACAATGCGAAAGAAGTTCGAGGTACATACATAGGTGTGATGTGTTTTGTTTTTTGTTCTGGGGTTCCAGAGAGGCGAGGTGGTCTGCCACGTGGAGAGATGTCCTCCCATCAACTGCCCTTCTCCAGAGCGCCTGGAAGGAAGCTGCTGCCCCATCTGTGTAGAACAGGCAGACCCCAGAGAAGGTGACGGAAGGGTGGATGTTGCATAAGGAAGAGGGACGGCTGGTCTCTCCGTTTCTAAAAAAAGAAAAACACTGCCCTGCTTATCCCCTCCATCCTCACCCTGCTCCATCCCCCAAAGCACTGCCCTAAAAAACACCGCCTTTGCTGTGAATGTACTGTGCACACTCCATTTGGTCCAATTGCAATGCAGCGTTAGCCTCCGTTTAATTAAACAAGAAAATAATTCAGCATCGGCTAATCCACGCGCGATGTGTCAACATCTTTTCAAAACAATGCATTACACTGCCAGTTTCTTTCTCAAGTTTACAAGAATCACTCTCCCCCTGCCTTTGTCACATTAAAAGCATTCCAGCAGACTGCCGCTTAATCATTAAGCGGCAATTGCGGCAGGCAAACAACAATCATATGAAAACACGTCGGACTGGACCGGCTGGTCGATTCAATTGGCCGCTCGCGTTGAAACGTGTACCGCAAAAAAAAAACCCCGCTAAATGTGCCTAGGAATGGCGAGTCGCACACAATGTGCTGGAACAACACAGCACGTTGCTCATACGCCAGGCGTGACATCATCTCCTGCCAGAAGAAAAACAAAAATCCCGCAGCGAGCGGCAATCAGTTAAAACGTATATAAGTTTCTCGGCTCGGAGAATTAGCCACGACGAAGTGTATCGAGTTAGCTCGTGGGGGGGGGGGGGGTCGATAATACATTTCAGGACCGCTGGCATCATTAGCCTGGCGAGTATATATTGCTTGCTAGCGCACATACAATGCGCTGCTCGTCATGAACACAAAAAAGCATTGCCAGGCCACATTCGCAGGTGGCGACACGTGCCCTCGCTTTTACGCATTAGTAATTCTAACGCGCAGCAGCGGCCAGACATCGTCACAAAGTACGCGTATAACAGGTACAGTATTCCTTACTCAAAGTATCCCAGTGTGGAACTGTTATGATGGAAAATACTTGACGGGGTAAAGTCGATTAATTTTCTTTCAAATGTGAAATATTGCTGTTTTCAATCGATTACAGATGCCATAATAGCCCTCGCCAAATTGTATTTCTATGGTTATGCATTTAAAGCAAAAAAGGTGTACTTGTGGTGGTGGTTTCATGTATTTTTTTTAATATGCTAGTTTTCCAGAACATCTAGCTTTAGAAAAGTTATGCAAGAGGCATACGTGGAAGGGGTTCCCTTTAAAAATTCAACTTTCCCTATGAATTTGTCCATCATAACTGTGATGGGCTGGTGCTTGACATTTCATATTTTGCCAAATATCTCCTGAATCTGTGGCTCTACGTAGCTCGATGTGCCAGAGTAAATTTATTTCCGTGACCCAGTATTTGACGGGTTTCTTTATTCAGTGTTCTTCACACATTTTCAGATGGGGGGCCACTTCAGTGCGAGGGCCACCACACATTTGAAACCATTGGGGTTTGACAGCAGCACGATGATGGGGGGTGTGTTCACATGTTGTGTATTTAACACGTAATCTTTTCGCGACCAATATTATTCATATTAAACGTTTTTGGGTTAGATCGCGTTATTTATAAATGTGTCGCAACGCTCCACCACCCGACACGGCCAATCAGCAAAAAAGTGTCACGTTGACAAAAGACAAATACTACGCATTGTTTTTTTCGGTAAAGTCATGTACATACATGTACATACATGACTTTACCGAAAAAAACAATGAGTAATTTTATGCAGTCACGAAAGCTTTAATTCTTTATTAAAAGACAAATAGTTAACTACTTTAGCCCAAATGTTGTGGATTCATTCTTCAACACACCGGTGGGCTAAAGTAGTGAACTATTTTTCTTTTGTCAACGTGACACCTTTTTTTTGCTGATTGGCCGTGTCGGGTGGTGGAGGGTTACGACACATTTATAAAAAACGCGATCTAACCCAAAAACGTTTATTATGTTGTGTATTGTCAGGGGCCGCACGTCAGGGCCCACACTAAAGGCCACTAGGGCCGCCAGTGGCCCCTCGGGCCTTGCAATGGAGAACACTGGTTTAGTTGGTTTCAATGCCAAACGATGCGCAATAGATATTGAGACTTGCAGCAATGTGTTCTTCACATGCATTCATGGACATTGTACACTATAGCAGTGTACATGGTTTGGCTCCATGTGAAGCTGCAATGAATTTCTGCGTTGAAAATTAAATCCAAAGAGTAAAATATCTCGTCAATGTGTTTTTGAGTTGTACCGCGCATTGCTCGGCACGACGTCAGGCATTTCACTCCACGTGCTGCGAGCCTCTTCAGGGGAGCCGAATGTGTGCCCAGTCTCTGTAAATGCCAGTCATCCACCGCCGATGAGCACGTTTGGCCAAGTACGGTGCGATACTTGGAATGTGTTATACTCTTGCAATATCTTAAAAAAAAAACACTTGCCTTGTGGCTTGAAGTGAGCCCAGCCAATGCAGGTTGTTCATAGTTCCCATGTATTAGTCGCCACTGAAAGGCATGTAATTCATCACTGCTGACTTTTTGAATGAACACATGGATTGTAGAGGCTTGTTGTGCGACTTCGAGGCGGTGGAAAAAAAAAGTGCCAAAACACTGCCGTAATTGTTTTAATATATGTAAAATATTACAGAACAACAAAACAATAAATCACATTTGTGCATTTTGAGTTAGCACGCATGATATAGTTGGCTTACTTTGTTTCATGAATAAACATTTTGTAAGAATATTGTGATTATTCTGTTTTTTTTCTTTTGTGCCGAAAAATATTCGGTGAGAAATTAAACCCTGCCTGTAATCCTCAACTACGGTCCTTGTTACAGTAAGATATAAGAATTGTAATACCGAACCACAACCAATGCGACCAATAAAAAAAAGTTAATGACAACTCTTGCTTCTTAAGCTGCAACGAACTAACGTGGGTTTACACTTAGGGCTTCTCTGTTGTAACAAAAACCAGAGCTGGCTTACGTAAACGCAACTGACAGTAATATTTTTCCCCATTATTCTCTGCGTAAAAGTGTGCACCAGATATAGCAACTTATCACGGTAAGAGTGTTCTGGCAAACGGCATCCTTGCTCCCAAGTGCAGGGTGGTTCATCTCTACTCTTGAGCAAGGCCAAAGCTCTCATTCTTCCTCTTCATAGCGTTGACTTATCGGTCATTTGCGCCACTGATGCAGCTATGTCACTTGTAACGATGTCATGCCACTAAGCATATTTAAAATGTACGTAAGATGCCTTTCAGGAGCAGTCTCGACCCAGCCTGGGACGTCATCTACAGCTTTTGCCAAGCCTGCCTATGTGCAAACTCATATTCCAAGGTGGGTAAGATTAACAGGGAACTCAAGAACAGCCTCACACGGTGGCATCACTGCATTGCAGATTTCAAGCTGTTAGCTTTTATATTGCTAATTTCCCCTCTGGAAATCTACGAGGCTTTAGTTTTCGTGGACAATCCAATAGAAATGTAATGCATTTGGTTGCCACCCATCTTGGTTTTACCTCGACAAATAATTTTTTAAGTCCTTCCATATTAATAAGATTTACCAGGATATTCAAAGTTACGTTTTTGTTGTCAGTTGTGTAATGATATACCACTCAAGATGATGCATAGACATGCAGTTCTCCCCTCTTCCGCTATTATGAAATATTCCCATGATATATCCCATTTTGTGTACCTTTGAGGTGGCAACCCTAGGCCCAAAGCCTGTTTCCATGAAGATTGCTGATGCACCCATTACCATTATTACGTATTGAATCATGAGCAAGGAGCCATCGTAGCAGCTATTGCTGCTGCTATCACACCCTGCCACAGCTTCCCACACCTTCGATAAGCGCGGTTGGCTACATACGGTGTGAAAGAAGTTAAACGTACATGCACACCTACATCTGCCAGATCCTGCAAACTGTAGCACAGTGGACACCTAGATGCTTTGGGCTACAGGTCATGGGTGTTTGCTAAACTAATAAATGAGGGGAAGTTTGGTGCAGTCATTGACTATTTGTTAATCCAGCCATGGCTTTAACAAGCAAGGCAGCTTCCTCCTATAGCCACAGATGTTGCTGATGATTAAGACTGCGCATGTAACTAGGAAGGATGAATACCATGGACATGCTGCTCAAAGCTTTAGACTTTAATCGGTCAGTGCCTTTACAATGCATCACATTCATTCTAGCAGGTAGCAACTAATCCGAGACGGTATAATAGTCTACCTTTTCATCAATCGCAGCTGCCGAGCCAAAGAAATGTGGCAATTTGCCTCTTCTGTTTCATGTTAAGCCTTTAATTTGAGTCCAGATGAAGCCTTTAATTTGACGAACGAGTCGATGGGCTCCTCCTTTGTTCCATGGTATCTTTACCAAAAGTTAATTACAAGTCCACTCAGCTCAGAAATGAATACTGTACATGGTGTGCCTAAAGAGGTACCTGCATTTGCTCAACTAGATTTTTGAGACTCAATGTTGGAATGTCAAATGAGAGGGTTGTTTCTTTTATTCTTTCACATCGGTCTATACAGAGAATTAAACAAATACGTTCCTCCGGCTGCCCAGATTGCATTTAAGGGCAATGCCCAACTATCTGATCGGCGCCACATGATAGAGAAACGTAGCAGCACAATGCAGATTGGGAGACATTGTCAGTGAAGCCTATGGCAAGCGCGTCACGTCGTTTAGGGTTTTCATTAAAACCACATGCGCTCCACTCGTGTTGTCTGGTGCCAGAGAATAATGTAAAACACGATTGTATCCTCTCTCAAAAGCCACACGTTCTATGTGCAAATATGTAATAAAGCACCCGTGTAAGGCCTTCTGAAATATACGCAATGGAGAGATAATATGCTGTGTATATGGAAAGGTGATTTCAACATCAAAAGACCGGTAATCTCACAAGCAGTTTATATAGGGCTGTGCGGCATGTTTTTGTACCTTTATATATACACACACACACATGAAATGTTAAATATATGGTCGAACAAGTTTTGACCAGCAGGCTATAAAAAATATAACCTACCATTACTTTATGCACTTACCCATCGTTATAAGGATTTATCAATTTATTATTACATGTATAGCATGTACAACAGATGGATCCTCAGATTTTAACCCTTTGGGTTTTTGGGCCTTTTTGGTTTATTGTCTTGTTTTTCAAAACATTCTAAT